CTGCCGGTCTCTGATCTAAATCTAATGACATTAAATTGGTTAGGAACACGAGAAGAACTAGAAGAAACTCTTTTAGAAAACAGTTCACATATCGACTGGGTCGTTGTTCCAAAATATACTTTGTGCAAGAGAAACAGTACAGATTTTTTATAGAAGTAAGAGATGGGCAGCCAGTCGGATTTCATGAGACATGTGTCATCTGCCATCGTTGAGTCGAGGTTATTCACAATACGAGCTGCTCTTGCATGAATATGGTTTAGAGAGTTCAGTGCGGAAGGAGAACAATTTCCCCATACCGAAATTCCATACGTTACACTGGGGATAATTGTTTTAAAGTATATTTCCTCGAGAACCTTCTTCGGAAGGATTCTCATTCTCTTCAACGCTCCAACCTTCTGCGTAAAAGATTTCTTCACTGAGTCAATGTGCACAGACCATGTCAGCTTATTGTCAATTTTAACTCCAAGACAAGTGGTGTAATTAACCAGGTCGATATGGCCAGTGTTAAAGTGGAGGGGAGGTATAGGCCCAACAAAAGAGGTTTTTCTTAGTATCATTGCTTCAGTTTTAATTGGGTGGATGGTTAGCTGATTCTTAATGCTCCACAGGAGAACTTGCTCCAATGATTTATTTAGTGACAACATAACCTGGTCAACATTTGGTCCAATACAGTAAACTGTAGTGTCATCTGCATACATGTATAGATCTCCCGAGTCGATGTGGTCAGGGAGATCATTAACATATATGGTGTAGAGCCGGGGGCCAAGAAGCGAGCCTTGAGGGACTCCATATCGCACATAGTCAGTGACCGACCTGCAATTATTAACTTCAGCAAATTGACATCTATCAGTAAGATAGCTCATTAGCCATTCATGAAGAGATCCTGATATTCCAATGGCGTGTAGTTTATGCGATAAAATATAATGGGGGACAGTGTCAAAAGCTTTCTGGAAGTCAATAAAGACTGCTCCAACTGTCAGACCATTGTCAATTGCTGTCTTCCATCCTTCAGTCATAGAGGTAAGCATTCCTTCAGTCGATAGTCCCTTGCTAAACCCCCACTGTTTACAGCTTTTTATGCCACAGCTGTTCAGATGGGTATCAATTATGTTGCAGATCTGGCTTTCGAGCAGCTTGCTGGGGATACTTAAAAGTGATATTGGCCTATAATTTGAAACATCTGCTGGGTTTCCTTTTTTAAAGATTGCATTAACTTTTGCAATCTTCCATGTGTTAGGGAAGCTGGACTGAGCCATGCTGCTCTTGAAAACAGTTACAATGCCCTCTAGGGCGGATGTTCCTGCAATAGCTAAGCTACGAGAAGAGATGCCATCAGGACCAGATGCTTTGTTAATTTTAATTGTCTTGATATCAGTTTTGAGTTTGTTGATGTTGACCTCCAAGACCTGCACAGTGGGGGTAACTCTGTACATGAATTGATGGGGTTCATCAGCTTCGGGGAATTTTTCAGCTAGTTCCTTGCCAATATTTATGAAGTAAGAGTTAATCAGTTCAGCTTTCTCGTAGTCATTTGTGATTTCCTTATTTTCAGCATCTCTGAGGGGGCCAATATGTTTATTCTTAGGTTTTCCAGTGGCCTCGTTCACAGTTTTCCAGAAAGATTTTGAGTCCTTGGTCTCTGTAAATTTCTTTTTCCAATATTGAGCTTCAGCACGTCGTAGCATCTTAGATACTTTGTTCCTAGAGGATTTGTAATCAACCCAGAGTTTATTAGTAGCGGGTGTGCCATCACAGGCTTTCAGAAGTTTATATCTCTTATTCATCTCTTTCCGGATCTCACTGTTCATCCAAGGTAGTGAATTTTTTCTAACCTTGGCTTTACGTAAGGGAATGTGACTGCTTGCAATAACATTATACATGCAATTCCAAGCCCAAGTGATGTCATCCAAGTCCTCAAAGGTGGAACAGACCCACCAGGGAGCACTTTCCAGGTCATGTTTGAAGTCTTTCGGGTTTTCCAACACGTTCTTGAAGTTGTGGACATATTTAATAAAAGGCTTTGGATTCCTGATCTTCAGCTTGTAGATAACGTAGATGAATTTGTGATCAGCTATGCAATACTCAATCACATCAGACTTTGAGACCTTTGAGGTATTGATAGTCAAAATCAGATCGATCAAAGTGTTAGAATGTGCTGAGGTTCTTGTGGGTGCTTTTATGATGTTACAAAAGTTATAAGATTGTAAGATGCGTTTGAATTTCGCACCATTTCCATTAGTAGCAAGCTGATCTGAATTGAAGTCACCAGCGATCACAACATTCCTGCGAGACATCCAAATTGTACTCAATACTTGGTTGAATTCATCAAAGAAAGATGTAACGTCAGGAGGTCTATATACACAACCCACAAGTAATCTTTGCGAGTGAGCTTTCAATTCAATCCAGAGAGCTTCAATGCCGTCGTTGTCATATTTGGATATACGTACACAATCTAGGCTAATGTTAAAGTAAATAGCGACTCCGCCTCCTACTTTGTGTGACCTATCTCTTCTCAGAATTCGGTATCCATCGATGTTTACTTCGTTATCGCTTATATCTTGTGTCAGATGCGTTTCAGAAATGGTTAGGATATCCAGGTTGGTATGCTGTAAAAGTATTTTCACTTCGGGGAGGTTCTTACGGAGGCCTCGCACGTTCGAGTGACCGATGGATACTCCTTGCTTTCCATTGTCTCTCACCACGTGAAGTGCATCAAACAGAGGGGAAGCAGGCCCCGGGTTAGGACATATGTCGCCACATAGTTGTAAATATTCAAAGTTGAAGCTTGCATCGGAGTTGCTGTAGTAGTTGACTCTCGAATTCCTGAATCTGACTCGAGCTTTCCACACGAATCCAATATGGCGGATATTGAGTCGAAACAAGATGGATGATATCGGTTTCAAAAACCAATGATTATCCCAGCTTTGCTTGTTTACTTTGACGAGGCGCATATCTAATCCGATGTGTGCATCTTTGCCACTTGAACATGCCAATATGTACAGAGAAAAGCCAAAAAGAAACCAAAGTATAGGCGAACTAAAAATTTTGCTTCTTCCCGCCATGATGACCGCTGACCTTCATGAATTAAACCTTGAAGCTATATAAAAGTGTAAAATGACGTAGTATTATGGAACTGCATAAAATTATAGAACTATTAAACGTATGAAAACTAGGTTAAATGGCGAATAAGGTCAAGATCTATAAACCTACAACCATATAAAAGTGCTTAAAATAATATATTAAAGCAAATAAGGGAATGAAATTAAATATGAAATTGAGGGAAGTTCAAAGGCGGATCAAGAGAGTTAGCAGCAGGCTGAGGAAAACTTGCGGTTAGATGGCCACCTCATTCTATACCATTATTACATTTATATCTAATCAAAACACCCACTTTCAAAGCAGTAAAAATCTAAATACCGAAAAAAGAGTGGCTCTATTAGAGTTTTACAGTCAAACCTCTCGACGTAGATATCATATTTTCTGTGAGGGATTTACTACCCGCTTATTTCTTTGATTTAATTTTGCTTTTTAATATAGAAACAAAAGCATCCAGTGTACAGTATCTAGAACAGGCAGGCGATTTGATGGATCAATTGACACTGAGTTAGATACAGACACTCAGCTTCCTTTTCCCACTAATGAGCTCTTACCGTCACGATTTCCTTTATTATCTTTTCCGCATTTTGACATTGTTCTGCCGTGCCTCTCAAGAGCGCTTGATTTTCTTTATTAATTGATAGCTGGACTCCGGTTTGCTCTCTGATTTCCCTTATTCTTGATCCTTTCCTTCCTATGACAAGTCCAACTTTGTCTTTGGGGATTGGAATCACCCTTGTCACGACTGTGGGTCCTTGTGTATTCGACATCCTGACAGGAGAGATTAAAACCTGCTTCGAGGTTACTAGTATTATTATCGTAGGTGGGTCAAGAAGAAAATTTTTCCTTTTACCTTTGTCTTAAAAAATCTTGGTTGGTCAAATTTGCACAGCTTCATTCCCAGATAAACGCTATTAATTATTTCGGGTTTCACTTCCAGGTATTTCCTAAAATAGCTTTGCGTGACGCGACTAAATCGGGGAAGTTTGAGGTCACACTAAATTTTAATTTTTCGTCCACAAGCTCTGTTCTTGTCAAATGCGATATGCTACGCACGGTGGAAGCCATACTTCTTTCCAGCGAAATGTAAACGGTCATTTTGTCCCTACATTAATCAGTTCCCTTGTTCGCTGAACATTTAAGATCGTATCTTGGAATAGACGAAGCAACACGACATATACTTCAATACTTGCATGTCAAGTCTTTCGCCCTTTATATATGTCCATTTTCAGGCTATTCTACCCTTCAATACCTAGTCCTATCATATAGAAATAGATGGTTCTGTACAATGACGCACTAAAACAGTGAAGTTAGGCTTAAGGATACGACTGAGTAAAGAATTTCACGCGGATTTGTACTCACCATACCTGTGTTTACAGTAGTAGGCAACTTCTGTTCCCCTCTCTACCCTGGTGATTAAAAAGTTGTGGTCGTTTTACAAAATGGCGGCAGTTTGGATGTATGTGCTTGCACCATACACCTTGGTTTTTAACGACTTGGGGCCTTGGTTCAGTACGCTATGGCGATATTTTTCGAGAGAAACAACTGCGTTTTCCATGAAACCTCTACTGACTGATATTGGGTCTCGCGCTTCTCAGAAAATGACCTCTGGTGTTCGTTGGATTCTTGGAAAGATCACATAGGGTAGTGACGTCATTTCATCCAAGGGAGAGAGGGACAGTAGACTGTGACATTAGCCATGTTTTGGCATTGGCAAAATGTGCTACTTACATTTCAGTCGCCAGGAAGAAGCTTAGCCTTTTATTTTCAGGAAATGACATTAATTTTTCATTCATAACGGCTATGAGAGACAACAAATATATTATGAATACTCTGGAAGTGACCCACCCCATCCAGAAGTATTCTTGAACATGCATAATTTAAATCTTTTAGAATGAGGAGGATAATTTTCAATGATGGCTACCAAAAAAGATGGAGATATTGATAGTTTATTGTGTAGAATATGTCCAGATATTGATGTTTTTGAACGCAAGAAGTTTAAGGATAAACTTGTGGAATATCTAACTCATGTGTCAGTACCAGCTGGCTGGGAAACTTGTGGATACAGACTGTCCAAGGAACACCCCACATACAAATACCACAAAAGGCTGCTGGAAAATTTCATTGATAAGCAGAAATTAGAAGATGAAAAGCAGAAATCAGTGAGCTCAACGGTAACAAAAGCAAAACCAGAAGTGTTTTTTGAACAACTCAAACAGTTTGTCAAGGTAGAAGAACAGAATGACAGTTTTTCTGAGTTTTGTGAGTCAAGAAGGTCAGCCCTACTAGATTTGTTTGAAAAAAATGTAAAGCTTTGTGGTGTTGTGATACGGAAATGTACATACAATGCAGGCCATTGTAAGGTGTCTGTGCTAATAGAAGTATGTCATAAAGCTCAAGATGGTCATTCAGCATTGATTGAGCATCTCATTGATGTTGAAAACGAATCTCTAAGAGGATATGATCTCAAAGTTGGGGACATTGTTGAAGTAACACAATGCCGGAGAAAGGAAGGAGTTGCAATGGAACCAGAAGTGATAAAGTAAGTATAGTTTATATAAGTTATAAATTTCAGTCTTACCATGATATCTTGTAACAACTTGTTAGAGATTGATCTCTGCACCTACAACAATATTACATTACTCTAATCACATTTCAACCTAAAAGTATATGAAATGAATCACTGTGCAATAAGCAGGAAAGATCACTTCAAGAAGTGTCGTCAGTTTATCCAGGGAAGGGAAGGACAGTAGACTGTGACACTAGCCATGTTTTGGCTTTCTTCTCTTTGAGATAAAAAATCAGCAATTGCATTGGGGTGTAAATAAACAAGGAGTCTTCTATGTAAGTGTAACATTAACCCACAGGCTCACTAATTATCCTATAATTCCTCAGCATATGGATTGGAATAAGAATTGCCAGAAACTTTCTTTTTTACTCTGCAAATGAGAACTAGATGGTTTTGACTTCCAAAATCATTATGGTTTTTATCAAGCACAGCTTTCAGATGCCATGTGTTAAAAGTGATGTGGAAAATGGTTTATGTTAATTAATTTCCACTTTTTAAACAATCTCTTTCCCGTCTTTTTTCCAGGTGTTACCATCGTGATCAGACTGACATTGAGTCATTTTTGATTTTTTTGGTAGCAAGTGAAAGCTCAACTGCTGCATTGACTGAACTTGTAAGGTAGGTTTTATACCAGTTGCATGTAACTTAATTAACTGAATAGTCTTGTCATATTGGTTGGATGTTGTGGCTTTTATTGCCAACTTTCCTTAGAACTTTTTGTTTTAACCAGAAGTGACTAACAAATAACTTTTATCCATAATATCCATACATTATCCAGCTACTAATGTCATGATTACACATCTGATTGGCTGAAAACAAGTGCATTCTCTCATAATACAAGTGCAAAGTTGTAACATGTGTGCAAATTTACATCTGATTTGACTCTCTGCGATGTTTTGTCATGTACATTATTGACAAGAAACAAAATGATTTCTCATGCAATTTGGTGTAGTAAGCACAAGTTTGTAAATTTTTAGAAAGACTACAAATTTCACTTGCCCTATGGGTTTTGAAATTAATTTTGTTGTCTTTGAAAAATTTAAAATTGCACTCAAAATCATGTTATTTACTTATAGAAACAGGCCACGAGAATAGTCTCAAACTAACAATTAGATCTTGGGAGTTAACTGAAGAGTTAGGCAAGAATCACAAGTTCTTAATTTAAATTTGTTGAGGAACTTAAAATATAGCAATTTTCTGACATGACTTACTGATTTTGTGCTGTGCCATTTTTAGATGTACTGCATTATGGGAATACATCCTGGAACTTCCCAAAGAAGACTATACAACACCAATGGCTATGCAAATTTTATCCATTGTAGACAAGATTTGCTCCAATGCTCAGAAAAATATGTCACACACAGTCACTCATCTTGTGAAAAAGTTTCAGGGGAGTGCTTTCTTCAAATCAGTCTTTCCAGATTTTGTCAATAAGATTGAAGATGGGAGGTAAGTAAAATAACTGAAAATTGTACTACTTTTTATTCTTTTATTCCTTTCAATCCAGGAGTGACCAAGCATGAACTTCTCCTAACAATTTCCATATACTACTGTATCGTGAAGAAAGGTGATGAGAAGTAAAAAATGATGAACTAGAGGGATGACAGCTGTTTGATTGATCACCAATTCATAGAACTTAAAAATGATAAGTGATGAATTATAAACAATGTAGAGAATTATTATTTAGATCTCAGGAGTGATAGGGTGATTATTAATTGTTACTAATTTATTAGCTTCTGGTGTTTTTTTGGTGTTTTTTTTTTACATATGAAATTTTTTGGTGGTTGTTGCTGCCAGACATTTTGTTATATGTTAACATATTATTCTTGCCAGCTTATGCTGATGATGAGTTTTCAGCCTTCTCTGACAAAGAGCTGGTGGTGGGGTTAGGAAGGGGAGGTGGTTGAGTTGGGTTGCTCCCTTTTTTTCTTGATCTTTGTTTAAAAATGTGATTTAATTTTACTTAATATAACTGACAGTGAATTTAATTCAAATATTGTATGTTTCCTTCACAATCAGTTGTCAATTGTCAAATTTCAGCTTGGTTCAGCGGATTCTGGAATGTGTAGTCACTGCCTCTCCAGCTGCTGGCCCACATGTTTTACGAATGGCTAAAGAGCTTGTGTATAAGTTAATAGACAACTCCAGTGACTTAGAGACAGCCAAAGAGAATGGACGAGCAGCTATAGATTACCTAACTAAGCTATCATCCATCATTGCCTTAGAGGTGCCTCAAGGCCGTGAAGAAGTTCAGGCTTTGCAATGGAAAGATCTTCCCTTGATACCAGTTGTGAAAGAGATCCATGAACCCAGTAACAGTTAATTGAATTTATTTTTATAGTTATTATTGGGCCATCTTTTGATGATGAATGTCTCCTATTCAGTGTATTACAATGTGTTATTGTTAACTGTTTAATCTAGTAAGCTAATGAAATAGAACATCACTTGTAGAATCAGAGTTTGATTAAGAAATGTATCAGCAGGAGAATATTCTCCAAGTCTGAGTACTTAGAAAATAGCTCAGGGGTAGAATTTTACATAGTGACAGAAGAGAAGAAACTCTCTTATTGACTTTCAATCCTAAAATTGTCCATTGCACAGCCATGTTTGTAGCTCTGAATAAAGAGCTAAGACATAGCGACAAGGTCAACCTACTGAGTTGTGATAGACACAAGGCTAGTTGGCAATTGGTGATAGAGTTTGTGAACAGCTGTAGAGTGGAGTATTAGGGGAATTGCAGAATTGACCCTTTCACTCCCAAGATCTCATTAGTAATTCTCCTTACTGTCTGCTATAAAATTCATGTGAAGTTAGTTTGGAGAATTTACTGGTGGATCAAATGATAATCCCCTAATTTATATTTTTCTTTATTCTCATCACAAATGCTATTTAATATTGTCAGATAAGGAAAAATTATGTCTTGGTCACTTATGGGAGGCAAAGGGTTAAGAATATTTATGAAAGCTGGCAATGGCTTTGTTGATGGTGTTGTGTTACAAATGTTTATATAGTCTTTATATTTAGGATTGAAGACAAAGGACTTACCAAAGATAAAAAAGGAGGGACCATACAAATCAGAGGAGGAATACTTAAATACATACTTCAGACTTCTCAGAGAGGAATGCTTCCATAAGTTACGCGAAGGAATCTATGATTTTGTTAAAAATGGATGTCAAAGCAGTTCAAAAGATATTACAATGTACAGGTATAACCAAATTGCTGTTTTACTCTCACATGGGATGATATTTAGGCTGGTTTGGCACTTTCTGATATCATCAGGAGTGTGTGAACAGGTCATGAATACTGATACCTTATAATTCTGCTGAACAACATCTGATTTACCTTATCCTTCTACAAGAAACAAGTATTACAATAACATCGTCATAAATGCTTTCCTAAGATGAATTTATGGATGATGTTATCATGTAGTAGTCTCTTACTAGACTACATTACATGTACTTGTAAATGCACAAAACTTGTATGCTTGTCATTATTGCTTTCAATGTGTGTTATTAATTTGATATTCTCAGAGTTTCCCTGAGAGGAACTTCTCTTCATCATGAAAATTCTCCAACTATGATGTTACTTTCACTGCTGTACAAGAAATCAGAGTCATCTGAAAAAAGTGATGAACAGCTTGAGTAAGTACATTCATCAAAGAGTTTGGTTATCTTGTTGCTCTTTTGATATGTAACTGAACCAGCTTTAAGTAGTGTATTTATTAAGTCTATCCTGGTACAAATATTCTTTGATTTCAGGATTGCATATTACAGACCCAAAGCTTATAACTTAACTGTTTAATGTACTTAACCACTGACCACACTTAACTTCCTCTTGAAAATAAGCAGTTTGGCTGACATTCAGTTTAGAGATTTATGTGACATGTTGAGACGTAATACTTGGGAAGCCATGGAAAAGAGGCAAATTTTTATTAAAAAAAGACAGAACTTGAGTAATTTTACATGAAACTGTTAATTATTCTCAAATTAACTTCAAACTATGAAAAGGAGTAGTTGCCATGGGGACCAAAACACTGCCCTTGTGAAATGGATTTTGGAATTTCTAGGAATTCCTGGGAATTTTTTCCTAGGAAGTCCTAGGAATAAAGGTGTGAATTTTCATGGTAAATTTGGATTGGGAATTCCTAGGAATTCCCAACCATAACAACTCTGGTTCTAAAAACATAGAAATTCCCAGAAATTCCCAGAAATTCCAAGTTTATAGCCAACAGGACTTGGAATTTCTAGGAATTCTAACTCAGAGAACCCTGAAAAGCTGTAAATCTAAAAAATTCTTTGGGAATTTCTGGGAATTTTCAGGAATTTTTAGGAATGTTTAATAATTACTGGGAATTTTAAGCAAAAATTTGAGGCTAATGATTTAAAATAAATACTTTAAATTAAAAAAAATCCATCTAAAATTCAAGTATTCAATGAAAGTTATTTACAAGTTTAATTAAGGCTAACATGTAAAATATTTTTTGATTAATTATTAACATCAACATGTGGTAATATTAGGATGGAATTTGATTTATTTTTCTTTTCTTGAAAACTTCATATGGATTAATCCTCAATTACAGCTATTCATATAAAATAGTCCTAATCAATCATTAAATTTGGTTTGACACAAATTGTGGATAAAATCTGTTGATTCTTTTCCATAAAATACAATATCTTAAATTATATTTGAAAACCAAGCACTCTTGGGAGTGAAGGGAATTACAGATAAATAAAATTGATTTTTTAATTAAAATATTGTTGTAACTGTAACAATAAATTAGAATGAAGTTATCCTAAACTGAAAACTTAGCTGCTGTTTGTATTTTTTTCCCTGGGCTCACAATGAGTTGGCCTTGAATGAGGTTGTCTACAAGAAGCTTGACCATTTTGCATCTGGATTCCATGACATCTGAATTTGAAAAAAATATTTATAAATATATATATTTAAAGCTCAGACCAGGCCTTTATAAATATATATATTTAAAGCTCAGACCAGGCCTTTATAAATATATATATTTAAAGCTCAGACCAGGCCTTTAAGATGGCTATAAGAAAAAGGGCATTCATTGGATTCTCAAATTAAGAAATCTCTGTTATATTGAGTGACTTTTATATTGGAGTTGGTACATCTCTCCCATAGATTTTACTTAAAAAAGGGCTGAATACATTATTTTGTTTTTACCAAGGAGGGCTTCTTTATGTAATAAGGTTTGTTTAATAACAGTTCCTATTATGAATCTTGAATGTTCCCAAACGTGACTAAAGGAATCTTGAAACCTTACTGATAGATTTATTTCATTGTCAAGCATTAAGCTTAAGAAACTGCGGCATGGAAGTGACCGATTCGATTCTCAGAATCATTATAGTTTCAGTTGCGCCGAGCGTTATGTAAGCTTAATTCAACCTGTTACATCTATTCTTTTATAAGATTTTGATCACTTAATGAATATCGCAATGTTTACTCACCACAAACTTTCAAAATCGTAGCTTTACAGATGGCCACTCGACCCTTGTTTGTACTAGTCAATATGTCAGCTGTTGTCCCTTCTTTTAACTCCAAGGCGCCAAAGACTTTCTTTTCTTTTACAACACTCACGCTTTTCTCGTTTTCCCATTGAACTACAATAAAAGCTATCTTTAGAAATGTTATATTAAGCAAAACAGTTGAGAAAAGCGATCAACCGATGAAAAGTACATTCAAAGATGAGCGCCAAATGGAGTCTTCTTTGTTTCCGATCACGGGCATGATCACGTGGATCTTTTAGGACTTGTCATTGGCTAGCAAAGTGTGAATCCGCTGGCTTGCCGATTGCAGTGTTTAGAAGAAAGGAAACTTGGTTTGTACTTCTCACTTACTACCAAGTCTTGTTGACAAATATTTTTAGATCAGAGTTTCAAATAAAGTAAATTGAAGGTGCCATTTAAAAGGTGTTTTTTTCTCAAGGGGAACATTGACTACCTCTGTCTTGTCTGCATGCCAAATGTTTGCAAAGTGTGTGGATGATCCACAAGTATTGGATCTCTTACAAAAATGTTTTGTAAGAATAAAAACAGCAAAACAAATTACAGCAATTAGTCATGAAAACAGAGCAAAAAACTGAAAAAAAAAACAACAACAACAATCATGAAAAACAAAAGATTAATTAGGTGTTGAATTTGTTTGTCTAAGGCATGAAACTTATGATAAAAATAATGTCAACAAAAAGTCTCTGACAGTGTTTGAGGCAACTGAGCTTTACTGTTTCAAGGTTTTCTAACAAAGGCAACCAGTAATGTAGGTTAGGGAAGTAAGTTATGTTCATAACTAACAAAGTTCTTTAAGTGTTGATAACAATGTAATTATTGTTAATTATTGTGGAAGTTGTGTACCAAGGAACAGCTTATGAATGTTTGATGATTTTGGCACATCAGTGGACATGAGACATTAATTTGCATCACAATAAAAGTATTTTATGATCATGGAATCCAAAAGTCCTTTTTTATAGCTTGCTAATTGCGGGTCACCTAGGACTGTGATAATATTGTATTGCTAACAAATAAAATTGAATTGAAATTGAATTGAAGGTTAGAAAGCAAATCTGTGATATGAGTACATTGGATTAATTGGCAATTTCCATTTAACATAATTGACTGCTGGTTCATAAGAAAATCCATATTAATGTAGAGATTCACTAAAACTTAGTTTGAATTAATAAAATTCATGATCTTTAAGTTATAAACGTATACATGTATGTATATCTCTTGGTAAGTTTTGTATAGCATACCTTTTATTGACCCAAGGTTTTACGCCTCTGAAATTACTCCTTTTCTTAAAACCTTCACATTTAAGGTATTGAGAATTTCTTAGAATTTCTGTGGACCTCAGGATATTGAAATTGCCTCAAATTCAATTCCCAGAAATTCCCAAGAATTTCACCCTTCTAGGAATTCCTCCTAGGAATTCCCAGAAAACTGGGAATTCAGTTCGCAAGGGAGTTCCAGCATGGTGCACTGTATTAAGTTCATAAATTATTAAATATGGTTTATTTTTGGATCACTTGTTTTTGAGAAGATTCTTTTTTTTAGCTTGACATCATTATAACTGAGTACATTATTTCATTGTATCTTTGCCAGCCAAGATTTCCTCATGTATGGAGATCTGCTGTGTATTTCCTTGGATAACTCTTTTCAAAAACCGATCTGGGGTTTGGTAGAAGATCATATTTATGACCAGAGGTAATTAAATTACTTTAATTAACTTTAAGTCTGAATTCTTAATGATGAATCAAAAATACACAAATGTTAAGATTCTTCCAATCCCATCAAATTTTGTTGAGATTAAGAGAATTTTAACATTAAAAATCAAACATCTTAAGTATAAATTAAGAACTAATTGGGAAAAAACTTCCTGGGCAGTATATACATGGATGAGGCCTCTGATGTATCAAAATATATTAATGCGGATTCTGCATTTCTGTTGAACATTGTACTTAATATAATCGTGCAATGTTGTTATTCTTCCAATTTTCATCTGGGTTACTGCCATACACTAATGATTCTGATAATAATTTATGTAATTCAACTTTCAACTTTTGTTTTTCCTGGAATTGAATACCAATCAGTCTAAAAATGGGTTCCCTCCATGAGGGAACCCATTGGGGATGCTCTAAGGAATAAGTACTAAATTCAAATGGTCCACATATCATATCAAAGGGAAGCTTCTTAATAATCTTGAATAAAAACCAATATTTCATTTATTATGATAAATATTAATTCACACTTATAATTTTAATAGAATAATGTTGTATGTAGTACATGAAGGTCCACATCAGGTGACTACTTTGTACTTTCAATTTTTAACCTACTGTAAATAAAGTTAATTGATTTATATTGTTGTTTGAAATCCAGCATTGTAAGGATTACTCTTTGTGACAAAGCAAATGACCTTTCAGAAGCAGAGTTTATTACACAAATACAAGAGGTTACAAACAAAAGTAAGTTTGTAGGCTGTTCTTACCAATCGTTCATTAAACTTTGTCAAGGGAATAAAAACATTTAGTTATTAGTTTTAAAAATAAAGGCCAGTTTTTTCAAATACAACACAGCTTTCATATTTACTTATTGAAATGTTGTGTGGCATTGTATTGATTTAATTTGGTTCATTTGAGAAATCTTGAATTTAGAATTTGGAATATGGATTTTTAGTGCAAATTGCTTTTAAGTTCTGAATCATGTCTGAGTAGAAATCATACTAGCAAGACACCTGATGCTATCTTGAGAGGCTGTATGTGGAATAAAGTAACTTGCAAACTTGAGGTTGGGAATCCTTGGATAGATTCATACTCATTGGGACAATTGAGAGTGCATTGCTCAATGAGCTGAAGCAGGGGATGAGTAGGCCAGGTCAATTGGTTAATGTTTCATTTAGGCCTTTTATTGATTTTCAGATGATGAAGCATACATGGCACAGAGCCACACATTCTATCAGGCATACGCTTCAGCCATGGAAGTACTGCAACGCAAAGGTTAGACAATGATGTTTATTTTAATGAGATAAAGGATATTATACATTTGGATTTTAGAATAAAGATCCTCTCTCTATTTGATTAAATTTTATTAAATGATTCTCGTGATATTCCCTTCAATAAAATCATGCATCCATTACAGAGTTAGTACAAAGTCACATTTAAACAGTCAGCTACATTTTCTCAGATTGCTTGATGGCCCAGCTCACTGGTAAGAGTACTGAACTGGTTTTTCAGGGCATTTATAGGTTGGAATTCTTTTCAAGCATGAATTTTTTTAGCTTTATATATTGTCTAATGGCTACTTAAATGTACATGTATATTTTTATGTAATTGATTTTTCTACTACAGAAGAACCATTTTTGATTCCCAGAGAAATAGCTATTAGGTTATCAAACGGTTTGCACTTTTTTTTTCTTTTTTAAGAGATCTGGCCAAGAGACATTTCATTAAAGCTTCCCTACTAGTGTTCCTATCATCAACCCTAGATCTTAACTGGATTAAAATGGACAATGCAGCAATGTTTTGCACCCATTGTTTACTTTCTTTAAAATTCCTAACAATTACTCTTTACAAGACATTCAAGTTTAAGAATTGGCTGTCATATCAATGACATACTGTTAAGGAACATTACCATTTGAATATCAGTCAGTAACGCGAGAAGAGATTAAATACATGAACTTGTTTTCCCATTTTTTCTTTAGATCATGTTCCATTTAAAGAATTCTTGGTTTACCCAAAACCAAACTACTTTGAGCCAGCTGAATACTTAAATGACATAAAAAGTCCCCCAGATTGGGAGATAATCTTTCATAAGGAGTCTCTGAGTTGTCAGGAAAAACAGTCTTCTTACTCACCTGTAAAAGATCTTGAGGGAATGCTGATGAACAGCAACTTCAAACCCAAACTGGATCCAACACAGCTTGCAGCAGTGGAACTGGCACTAAAAAACAAGCTTGTGCTGATTCAGGTAATGCTTTAACTTGTATCCACCCAACATTTCTCATTGAATTATTTGGTCATATGAAATATCCTAGCTATTCCTTTCTTACACAGGGTCCTCCAGGAACTGGAAAGTCATATGTGGGTGTGGCCATAGTGCGCCTTCTTTTGTCCATGAAGGTGCCACAAAGCCATGGACCTATTCTGGTAAAAAAAACCCTCTGTCCAGCAGTCTTTATGTCATAAGTGCGTGGTTAAGTGCTTGCAGTCTGCATAACAAACTTGTGAGGGAATAGGAACCTTGCCCCTGCAGACTCACAGATCAGAGTTTGTGAGGATTCAAATTGAAGTGGAATTTCGCCAAAAGTTTCCTTATCTCTTTAACTCCCAGAAGTGATTAAGAGGTAGCTTCTCCCAATAATATTCCTACATTATCCAGAAAACAGGTGAAGAGGATACCCAAACTTATTAGGTAGAAGTTGTCATCTTGATCTAATGGCAAATTCTCATAACTAATTTACAAGAAAAAGTGTAGCATCTATATGAGGGAATTTACAGATCTAAGTAAATCAGATCTAAGGAGTGAAGGGGTTAACAAGGTCAGCTCAAATTTATTTTACTGTGGTTACCTTCACGCCTCAAAGAATATACAATAATAATAAAAATCCATGATTTATTCTTGAGTGCTCAGAAACAGGGACAGCTTTGTGATGCTTTTATAGCACTACTCACCTTTTTCTACTAATTAAGGATAATTTAAGAGAGTGTCGAGTACAATTGAGCAGAGCCTTGACACCATTTACTCTCTTTTTGTGTGGCTTCACATTGTTTCCTTTTTTTAAGGTTTCCATCATCAGCGCTGTCTTATTTTTGATATCCTGGTTTACAGGTTGTGACCTATAAGAATCACGCCTTGAACAATTTCTTGGAAGCTCTCGCCAAAAATTCATCCCCGGATGAGAAGATTGTTCGTGTTGGAAACTTGCCTGAAGATGCTGACGAAAAATTGAGGAGACTCTTGCTAAGAGAGGTTTGTCTGTAAATCAACAACGTCAAATGATTCTGTGACAGTGTGATATTTTAAAGATTTTCCACTAAGAAAGAAAGTAAACGAGGTGGTTAATCGCAATAAACTAAACACTGCATGAACCAATAAGTATCCTAATCAAGTACACGTGATCAGCTACAAGCGCATGGAAATGAAATTGGTTTTGGTTTTCTATTTGTTTGTTTGTTTAGGTTGGGAAAAAAAAACAATATTTGGGATAGCTCTACGTCGCTGCAATGGTTTAGTTACATTTTTGGTTATTTATTAATTTGTTTGTTTATGAACGGAAAAAAAGCCTGACAGGAAAACTTTGGGCTCTGCAGCCTCGAGTAAGAAGTGCCTTCCAGAAGTTGGCATTTTCCAGTATTTTCAATGCAGAGATGTTCTTGGAAGTATGTAACTACCTGTCTTTATCTGAGTGATATTAATATACTTTCTAGTTTGAAAATAGAGTTACTGCATCATACTATTCAGGTTCAGAATTTAGAGTGCTTGACTTTAAAACCTGGCGTTAAATCAAAATGGCTAATAGAGTTTAAAACAGCTGCTGTTTAAAAACTCGGCCGGAGCCTACGGCTATATATATATATATTAATTTTTTTTTTGTTTTTGTTTGTTTGTTTGTTTGTTTTTTTGGGAGATATTTAGAAGAATTTTGTAATTCCTCAAAATGATTCCTCCATTATCAAATCAACGAATAGATTCCCTGTTCAGTGCCGTACGTCTGTTTAGTGATAGAACACTGAGGACCTCAAAATGTGGTAAGAACAAAAAAAAAAGGTACTAGGCGTGTGTCACTGATGTTCTCAACACATTCTGAAGTCTTAGGTGATCTATTACTAGGGACCTTAAGCAAACGGCGACGGCGACGGCGACGGCGACGGCGACGGCGACGGCGACGACGACGGCGACGAGGACATGGAAAAACAAAAGATCTAATTGGCAGAACAATAGCTCAGCGCGTGCGTTTTAAAACTTTGTACATTTCTTAGCCGTCCCATGCAAAACAACAACGTGAAATCACCACAATTTGCGTCGTCTGCGAACCGAAACCGCGACGGCAAATTATTTTAATTTCCATTTGGAACTCAACGCTTCTTTTATACGTTATGCTGAAGTTGAGGTGTGGCGCCGTATGAGACGGTAAACACATGTAATCATTTTTGGAATTCTAATTAAAGGCAGAAATTTATTTTTCAATTGAAGTCTTCCTTGGCGTTGCCGTCCTGACTGCTTAAGGTCCCTACTATCAGGGAGGACGGCAACATGGAATCTATTTGTTTTGTATAGCAAAGAAGCAACATGTTGTTAATGGTGACGTTTGATATGCGTCTATTCTGCAAAAGATCATCGGTGAGAACCAATCAAAAGGCTGGTATAGTTCAGCTTATCATAAAATCTTATGAACATTTGATTCCATTGTTTTTACAAGGAAGCGTCGGTCGACCAGATTAGGTCCCTTCTTCGGGACAACAAACGTGAGCCAGTTGATGAAGAAGAAGTGGAAATTTTTCTGAAGAAGGTGACCGAAAGAAATGATCGAAGTGGCCTTAGGAGCAATGCTCGATTTTTAGGTACGCAACCCTAAATTTAATTCTTAGTCAACAACAGTAAATTTGCCTTTTAACTCTCCCACATTAAAACTATTACTTGATTGTTCAATGCCCCGTCTTCACCATGCCGGAGTAATAAACACAAAACGTTATTCCTACGATGACGCCTAACTTCTGCATTTAACCGCACAGATTCTCCACTGGAAACGGACTTCTTTGAAAACACTTTTCGAAGTGGTTAATTTCATACAACTCACTCAAACCCTAGCGGCCAACTGAGGGTGTGGTTGCACCTTATTAGCGAGACCGCCACCGTAGATCTGTTCATGATAATTTGTTTCAAAGTTTTTGTTTTTTTTTAATCCAGAACTTGTGAAAAATGCACTGCAGGATTGGTTGCCTGCCCAAGAAGAGTTCGATAAGTTTGTCAACGAAGAACAGGAGCCCAAACCAAAGAGCAAGTAAGTGTATAATAGCTACAAGTTCCGCGGTTTACGGCTGTTCGCAGCAAGTTTTCTCTCTTCTGGAATTTCCTTGCTACGGGGAATTGACAGAATCATATATATCTGTTGCGTTTACGATTACTTGCAGTAAAAAAAACCTTACGTCGGACAAACCATCACAAGTATGCCGACTGAAATGGTTGAACCTTGGTTTTTATCTGCATTCCTCACGTGGAAAGTAAATTGGATGTGCGCATGCTCAGACTGTCGGCCGTTGTCTGATGTAAACACACGCGAGACACATTATGGTGCTGTAGGTCAGCTCTTGTTGGCTTTGAGAAATTGTTCCACTATAAACACAGATGTATTTTTCATTTTTCCCACAACTCTAGTGTAGCATCTGCTCTTGCGAAACAAAAAAGGAAGGAAGATCCAGAGCAGGAGAATCCAAGCGACGCCAGAGATCCATCTGTAGAGGAAAAAGAGCGTCTCTTTGCTCTGGATAAAGACATCTGCGATGAAGAAGACGTAACAATCGCCCAAGATGTTGCCAATGAAGATCAGCTGAAGGAAAGGGGAGATTCATGTTGTGGAACAAGGGAGCGCAAGCTAGTTTGTGTCGATGAAACAGGTAAATTGCCTCTGTTATGTTTTAAAACCCAGATATTGAGAGGATGTTGCGATACCTCTGTAATTCTGTTTCCAAAGTTTTTAGTAGCAGTGTCGTAGTAAGCAATACATTTGCTATCGGAGAGAGAGACATATTCTTCATACAGAATGATAAAAACAAACAAACAAATAAACAAACAAATAGAAACATAACTCCCGAGACGTGTATGAACTCTCAGATGTTGAAAGTCCTTCGTCGTGGTATTAACGGAACGTCACAACCAAGTCAGATGTGGATAATGCTATTTACAGGATCATTGATCATCTATTATTGTTACATACGCGAAGTGATATCAAATTAATGAGGAAATAGATGGCGCAATCCAACCTCTAAATACGCAGCTGTGATCAAACTGCGGCTGTTATTTCCTCGTATTTACGATAAGGAAGCATCTAGTAACTGTATATAAGTAAAAGTGCAATTTACCCTTTCTTCTTAATTAGAGGTGAAACCTCATCTAAATCTCTTGGATGACGTCAAAGTGTGGGCTCTTGAGAAAGAAGAAAGAGTCCAGCTGGTGTATGTTTTGCAAAGCAAGTTCTACAAGAAAGCCTGTTCTGAGTTCCTCGAAGTGAGCAGCTTGTACAGAGAGGTAAAAAGATGAGTTATATTTTGTCGAGGGGGAGAGGAGGAGGGGGGGGAGTGTCAAAGGAATTTGGTTGTGTCTCGATAAAACTTACCTAATCCCTCATAAGGCTCTGTATTATTCTTATGATCTCCCGTCATATGCAGTTAATTAGCAGTCAATTTTCTACAGTCCCTCTATATACTTTGGTGGCGGCGATTCATCACCCACTCCGTTTCCTCAAACCCCCCGCCCCCCCTGCCCCCCCAGTTTGAACTTTTATTGACTATCATGTCAACGTTCAAATGGTTCATGATAGTTGATGATAGTTGATGCTAGTTTCAACCTTTATTGACTGTCATGTTAATGTTCAAGTGGTACCTGATAGTTAATGATAGTTGACAAAGGTATGCAATGAGATCGCGAAGTTGTAAACAAATATGGGGCACGCTGAGGTCAGAAATTTCGGTGACATTTGAAATATTTGGTCAAGAAGTTGCGAGGTGAAGATACTGAAGCCTACCAGGAGGAAATGAGAATGAACTACGAGACGAAATGTTGGCGGCTTCTTTAGTCATCTTACCATTTTTCATTTCAATTTGCACCCGTTTTCAGCGAAACTGCTGACCGAAAGACTATCATTCAATATCATGTCCTCATTCAAACGGCAAAAACCATCATCAATCATCATGTCGAGTTTGAACATGTCCAAACTACGTGATAGTTGATGATAGTCGCTGATACTGCATGATAGTTCTTCTTCAAACTTGCGTGATAGTTGAAATTATCATCAACTATCATGACCGTTTCAACGGTTCTTTACATACAGGCGCATTGCAGCTAACAAAAAGATTTTTCTTGTTACCTAACAGATACATCATCAACTCAAAGAGCTGAGAAATCAACATGACATTGAAGTGATGAAAAAATGTCACGTTATTGGAATGACGGTGACTGGAGCGACTATGAGGGCAAATCTGTTGGGTGAGGACTGTTATTACTGCTGTTTATCTTGGCTCGATTAAAATCCATGAATTTGGATGGGCTTACTTTTGTAAAAAAAGCCTCGTGGATCTGATCGTCGCTTTATGATTGCTCGAGGGTGGTTGATTTCTTTGTTTTGTTATTGCCTTTTTTTTGTCATGTATAAATCTTGATTGGTTCTTTAACAGGGATCAACAGCAAATAAATAAAGTTGATTGGATCTGTCACCGAAAGCAACATTTTGGCCCTAAACTCGCGCGTCCTCGAAATAGACTCTTTTGTCACTTCATTCCTCCTTTAAGTACTCCCTCCCCACCTTCCGGCATGCGTTTCTTTCTTTCAATTGTTCATCCATTTTTACTTTTTCGTTTGTTATTTCTGTCTTCTTTCCGAATTGTTTACTTTCTTTCTTTTCTTTTTTCCCTGCCCTCTCGTAGCCGTCGCTATGGCTCGTCATGCCAAACTCTCTCCTAGCGCCTCTTGCATGACGGGACTGTACGTTAAGGATGCGCGGGCACTAACAGAAAATTACAGAGGCGCGCTGTATCTTATCACTTACAATTTTATACACAGCTGACATTAAACCGTCTGTCATGATAGTGGAGGAAGCTGCCGAAATCCTCGAAGCACAGCTTGTAGCTGTCATTCCGCCCTCTGTACAACACCTCATTATGATCGGTGATCATAAACAATTAAGGCCAGTGGTACATTTCAACCGACTCAAAAAACATCATCATCTTGATCTCTCCCTTTTCGAGAGGCTTATCAACTGCAAGCTGCCATACATACAGCTTGGATTTCAGTGCAGAATGAAAGATGAAATTGTCGACTTGCTTCGAGAACTTAAGATTTATGACGATCTGCAGACCAAACACGAGGTAACGATCTGATTTGTTCACTCCTGGGAATTTGGAACAGTTTTTAAATATTTTCGAAGAAAAGGTTGTGGTTATTCATCGTGGTGAATAACAATAAAAGCTAAGTTTTTCGTTTGTCTCACGATGTGTTCACGTGTGATGTAGATCGCGACGTTTCGACTGCATACTTCTTAAAATTTTTAAATGGCCTCTTAAAATAATCTGCTGACGGAACTATATACTATAAAATTACCCAATCAGGTGATGCGAAAAAGAAACTTATCAGGTGGAGGGTGTTCTCTAAATAAAACACAAAATTGTCTGTCGTGATGTGCGCGTGAAGTCTCGCTCTCGCGTGCCAATCACTCGCGCGGTCGTGTCAATCACAATGTCAATCGAGTCCTAGCTATACAGGCTACGTAGTTCTGGACCATTGTAAATCACGAAATTTTTACATTTGTTTTGAATCCTCTTCTTATATGTCTTCGTTTTTAGCTTGTACAAAGAAACGTTTTACCACCTTGTGTCGAGTCGAGCATGTATTTCTGGACTCATACAGACTGGGAAGATGAATCGAAGAATTCTCACAGCAAGAGAAATATTACAGAGGCTAGAAAAATTACTGAAGTTGCAAAAACACTGTGTGAGAAGAAGAAGAAGAAGAAGAGAGTCCTACCATCAAAGATTACAGTTCTTTGTTCATATCGAGGACAGGTCAGTCAATAATTTTGATTTTGTACTTTAATTGTTGTTCTTTTAACTCGTTCACTGAGTTCCCATCAACCTTAGAGGGATGTGTTGGGTAAGAGACGTCTTTTATAGAGGTACTGTTTAAGGTAGGCTTCTTCCTAACAGAAATGTTTTCTGACAGCTCACCCATTGAGGTCGTCAAAGAGAAGTCTCTATTTTGGAGGGAAAAGCAAACTCAATTTATCCATTGGGTAGTGAAAATGTCCTGTGACTCCTTCAAAGTGTAACTCCGACACAATTTCCACCAAGATAAACTTTTCTGAAAAAGAGGAATATTTCATTATTTACTCAATGATTACCTTATTGATGTGCCGTCTAATAGAGAATCAGCCCCACTGTCAAAATCGAAAATTTTTAAACTGATTCGTTTCTGTTGACGCTTCAGGTCACCGAAATAACGAAGCATTTCAAACAGGCAGATAAATTCGCCCCACTGTCAGATATCAAGGTTACCACAATCGATAGTTTCCAGGTAAGCAAACTGGACGCTGAAAACTTAGTGATCTTGAATAGTTATCGGAAACAAGTGATTATGCTAATTTCTCTGTGGATGATTTACTAATTTATTTATCTTTTGTCGTTTTGATATATCTGAAGTCGATGTTTCATGCCACGGTATTCCCCATTACAAGAATGCTTAGAAGGTCAAGTTCCATGACCTAAATTTTACCTAATACTGCCTCAATATCTGTGTTGCCGATTGACTGACTGAATGAATGACTTCCTGACCACGCGACAGACTGACTGATGGTTTTACAGGGTAATTTGACGTTTCTGACGCGTTAGCCCTTCGTCAGAGCGAACGCTCGAAACGTCAGCTTTTAAACTCTTTACGGTGGCCAATTTACGTTATCAACTCAGTTGATAATATCAAATTACCCTGTTATACTCTCCCACCAACGCAGCACCACTGTTTCTTAAGAAAGTTACCCCCTTTATTCATTTGATTGATGGTTTCATTGAGTTAAATACTGACTGACTGGCTCACTGACCGACCACTGACTTACTGACCCACTGACTGACAGATCAACTTATTTACCGACCGATCGATTGACAGACTTGATGACTGCCGGACCGGCTGACCAACTGACTGACTGCCAGTGACTGACTGACCGACTAACCAACTGTTTCGCTCTGACAAGGGGCTAACACTCGAAACGTCTGCTTTTAAACTCTTTACGGTGGCCAATTTACATTATCAACTCAGTTGATAAAACCAAATGATCTTGTCATACTCTCCCACCGGCGAACCACCACAGTTTCTTTAGAAACTTTCCCCCTTTATTCTAAGGACCAAGTGATTGAAAAACTGATCGATTGACCAACTGACTGATTGACAGACAGACTGACTAACCGACTGACATACCGACTAACTGACTGACTGACTGATTTAACGACTGACCGACTGGCGGCTGACCAACTGACCAACTGACTAACGGACTGATTTCCGAAAGATGAATTGGTGCGGGGTAATCAGCGATAGGCAAGCATCCTTTTCTTTCCTTCATGCCATGGAACTTGGATAAGCTCCATACTTATTGAGCCACCTGACTCCTAAAACTTAACCTCAACACAAATAATAACAGGCGATTTTTAGCGAGTCCATTAAACTGTTCACTTTTTTCTTACTGGCCAGGGGCAAGAGAATGATATAATTCTCATATCTTTGGTCCGAAGTAACAACAAATCCACGATTGGATATCTATCGTCAATGAATCGTTTGTGTGTGGCAATTTCTCGAGCTCGCTGTGGTCTTTACTTGTTTGGTAATCACGCACACCTGGCAACGTTATCTAAAAGAGGATGGAAGGTGGGAGTTTTCTGCTGCCATTTGGGAAAAGAGTATAGTATAATAACCTTAACGTTAATTAAAATAATGATGGTATTCTATGCGAGCCCTTCCTTCGAGACAAGTTGCTAAACATTCTACTAATTAAGCTCTAGAGATGAAGTCGAAATTTAGTTTAAGGGAAGCAAGCTATTTCGTTTTAAGTCTATCGTAAATCTCTCTGGAGACCACTGAATTAGGAAATATTATATTTATTCCTTTAAACTTAATGAAACTAAAAGAAAAATTAGTTCTTTAGTGAGGGAAAGAAAATGCCAGTAAGTCTATTAGCACGCTGTCGGTTCAAAGTGTTAGGAGCAGTTTCTAAGTTGACACTGTATCAGTTGAGTGGTACTGCAGATAATGTTGCGAAATAATACGTGAGTTTTATTTTGTTATTGTTAGAAGCGTTGATATTTTAAGCACCACGTAGAATATAAAAATTTGCAAAAAAAAAAAGAAAGAAGTCGTTTTTCTGAAGAGTTCTTGTCATTTATTTTATTATTATTATTTATTTGCCACTTACACACACACACACATACAAAAATAAATTAAAATTGTATACAACAATCTATACCTAATCCAGATAAAATTATGATTTAGGGTCATTTATAAATAGTGTGGCGAGGAAACCCAGCAGAAGCTAGAAGCTTATCAAACCTGGTTTCCTTACACGATGTAGAAGATAGATTTGCTAATTACAGACGGGCGAGTTTAATTTAGTTTTCTGTCATTTTATAGGTTATCAGTGAATCTATGCGAAAGAAGCAATGTTTGGGTCGAGTTTTTCCATTTTGCTCAGGTGACGATGTTGTAAGTATAATGACTTGTTGATTTTACTAGATGTATATGCATTTGATTATTCCCTTCTTTTCTAATTTTGTCATTAAAACTTGCGTGAAAAACAACTTATTGTTTTTCGTCATATTAACAAAGATAGAAAAATTTCCCCCTTGCACAAGGACCGGGTAATGCTCTCATTAGCATTTTATTTTTCTTACGGAAAGCTTATCTTTTGCTAAAAGTGCTGGCCTCGACTTATACAACTTTCGCCACCCTTACAATCCTTGTCTTTTCTTGTTCTATTTGTAACTGTGAGTCCTGAAAAACAAATATATTTAAGTTTTTGTTGTATTTCAATGTCATGACGGCCCTAAAATAACCGCCATTTATTTGTACTTAACTGAACTAGAGAGGAGATGGGTATCAAGGAAGCCTTCCAAGTAGAGAGAGAGGTAAGAAGGGAACCACTGCATTATATGACTTCACGATATTATTTTACTATTTTAAGAATTGGTTCATGCTTAGCGTGTGTATATCGAGGTATGCATGCGCGCGGAAGTTTTGGAAAATGAAGACAAACAAAGTCAAAACACTCAAGTTTTAGTAGGCGCCGAACAAGGGGTTTGATTGATAAAAGAGAAGACTCGGGCGGGCTGGTGACAATTATTTTCGCCAATCTGACTCTCGGAAAGTTTAGAAATAGAAACTCGCGACTACCAGGGACGAAAACTTTGCAGCGAAATGCAACTGCATATTTCATGTTATGTACACTACCGTGATAGAGATATAGACCATGGTGGCTCAGTAAAGAATTAAGTACGACAAGCGCGTGCGGTTTGTTCGAAAGTTGCCAATTGAACCCAACGGGGCAGACATCCCGACGGACACCCCTCCATTTGTTTTGCATTTTGCCCTCTAAAATTTGTTTTCTCTCTCTTATTTATACTCGTCCAACGAACAAACTATTCATGATTTTGATTAAATGAATAAGGTCATAAAACGTATTGAACTGGATTAAAACAAAACATAACTTCGGCTTATGAATGATACCTTTGCTTTTGGATGTAACCTCTTTTGCTTTTTATTGTGCAGGCGGCAACATAATTATCCATCACGCTGAAAATGTCTTTTTGGGGGGAGGAGACGGCTCCGTGAATACAATGAATGTTGGTCGAGGTTAGTGTTAAACCTTCAACTCTCAGAGCTGATTAATTTGTAACTTCTACATAGAAAGTCATTTTATTGTACCACAAACAGGTGTTAAGAGTATAAAACCAATTTCTCCGGAAAAATTTTATCCAATTGAGTACAATATAAGATTAACTCGTCTTCAGTAATTTAACCCTTTAACTCCTATGAGTGACCAAGACAGAATTTCTCCTTACAATATCAATACAATATCAAGCAGACAAGTGATGAGAATAAAGAAAAATATCAAGTAGGGGATTATAAGTTTATCCAAACTAACATCACAAGAACTGTATGGCAGACAGTAAGGAGAATTACTAGTGAGATCTTGGGAGTTAATAGGTTAAGACTTACAACGTTGAAGTTTTAAATGGAGCAAAACAGACGCGAGGGCGAACGAGTATCAGTATACTCATTCGCTGCTTTTAAGTAACGTCACAATTTTTTCTCTTTTTTTTGTTTCTAGGGAAATCGCCTCCGGGGACAGCAACCCCACGGCCTTCAGAAATACCACTTCCACCGTCTGGAAAAACCCCAGTTCATGATCCAAAGTCGCCCTCACCTTCGCCAGGGTTTTCACCACCGTGTATGGAAAGAAGTGACATGGGTGCTGATTCAAATGGTGTGCCGCAACAAGGAATTGAGAAGAATGAGTCAGTAGTCGTTGATTCCAGGCCAAATGAGGTACCAGGGGTGGAGTCTGATAAAGATGTAAGATTGCCCATCCAAGAGGCACCTGCTGCAGAGCATGCTTCCCTAAGTGAGATGGAAAAAATGAAAGAAAGACCGGAACAAGAATCAGGTTTTCCTATAAAAAGCACAGGCAATCCTCCCGTTTCTGGCGATGAATCCTTGCCGTCTGATAAGGATGCTAGGAAACCTACGCAAGAAACGCCAGAGGCGCAAAAATCTCCCGAATCGTTCGAGTTTGAAAACATGAAGGAAAGGCCGGTACAAGAATCAAAGAACGCCATCTCTGATTCGTCAGGTAAAGAGGCGAGAAGACCTACGCAAGAGTCACCCGAAGCAGAGAAATTATCTCCTGGTTCAAGCAAAGAGGAGATCATGAAAGAAAAGCCGATCCAAGAGTTAGCAGACGAGAAACGTTCGGAAGAAACAGCTGTGCAGGAAAGCGAAGAAACTCCAAAGAAGGAGGACGAGTCAAAGGGTCACCCTGTCAGGCATGTTTACCAAGAAGGTGACTTGAAAGAACTCACGAAGGAAACCCTCGCTCAAGAAACGATAAACCAATCTGGTGAGGAAACAAAAGACCAGAGCCCTGAACACATTGTCCAGGAAACCCAGAGGCCTAATAAAGTGAAAGAAGAAGGCGAAGACTCGGAACCTCTCAAAGATGACGAGTACTCTGACGAAAAGCCGCTCAAAGCAAGCGCCAGGTGTGGGACAGAAAGCAAAGATAGCCCGGAGGAAGCTTTACCGACTCAAGAGACCATGGCCGCAGGGAAAGGGCCTTTTGAAGAGACTGGGCTGGAGGTTGGCGTCAAGGGCCATCCTACAGACTAAAGAGAGGACCAGTTACGGAGCTACCTTGGATAATGATTGAAAGGAACGGTTTTAGAAAAAAAGCTAGCGTATAGTGTACCCATAGAAGATATCAAGTTGTATTCAACTTCAATTCGGCCCTAGCATTCTTAGTATGTAATACGAGTAAAACTTTTAATTTTTTCTATTGTATGAATGAAGCAATTTCTACGGAGTTTTTCTCCTGGTGAGTTTTAGTTTGAATCTCAATTGCAGTTTGCTCATGTAAACTACTGTTTTCCACTGATTGGGACATAGTGAGCGAGCTATAATAGATATTGCTCCTCTGTAAACCACGTTAAAGGACTACATCTTGTCATTTTATGGATTGTGCTGTTTCTTATGCAGACTCCAAAATTTCCATTACGTTTTTTGAAATAAGAACGGTAGAGTTGTTTAGAACGGGTGCGTTCGTTTTTTTTTAAAAAAAACGTGATACTTCAGTGGTAGTATGAAGGCTCACGTAATTAATCCTTTACACTGAGTGATATTCGTGAAATTGTGAAAGAATTGTCCGGTATCATTTTTAGTGTAAATAAATTAAATACAAATCGTTTACACAAATTTAGACAGAAGCTCATTGTCTGCGTATTTTCATTTTATCGCATAACAATCTTTTAAACTTAAGTGCCCCTTGCTCTCCGAACTAATGCATCTCTCTTTTACAAAGAGCGCTGTGGTCAGCCGATTTAGAAGGCCGCATTCAACTGAAAAGCGTGACAAAACCTGAAAAATAATTTTGTTGCGTTTAAGGTAAATGAAAAACTGCATAAGTTCTACAATGCATTAAAATTGCAAAAAGGCTTACCAATGATTGACCCAGTTCTTTTCCTCGCCGGATGAAAATCTAACAATACCATAACATTCCTTCCAAGATATTTCACGGATTTAAGGTGGTAAAGTGTTTGTAGCCAGATGCAAGCTGTCGCAAGAGGTGAATCACAAACCCATGTGCGAGGATTTTCAGCGTATTTTTCTGAATTTTTTTTTAAGATGATCTTTGATTGAGTTGAATTTTTGGTTTTAGAAGGGACAGTTATATGATGAATTGGGGTACTCTTGAATTCTTTGCATAAGCCAAAATACAAGCTCAATTACCAGTCGTTGTTCGCCAACGTTTCACCCCGGATATTGGATTCGAAAAACGGTAGAAACTTGCATATAGTTGAGATTGGTAATCAATATAGTTTATTAATAAAAGCTAACTCATTTATTACTATTCAACCTATCATTAAAGAGAAAGTAAATTCTCAGAGATCACTTGAATCTAAGTTACTTCATGGTTTTTTTACCTGGCCTTTCAGGTTCGTTGTGTTGATTCTTAAACAAGTTCAAACCGCACTGAAGCAGGTGGTTACCAGAATAAACAACGTGGTGTATGTAGGGAGTGTGTGTGGACGAAATTCAGTGGAACTTAACATCAGACACGATATCCTCGACTAAACTGAACAAAATATTTCGATGTTATTGAAGCATTGCATTATCTCAAGGAGCACTTTTACTCCGAAATTGGGCAGTTCCCTTCTTTTTGCGTCGACCGATCCGGCCAACGGCCTGCTTGATTGAATCATTGTGAACTCGATGCTGACTGGGCAGCTCATAAAACGAATACGTAAACGCACTTGATACCGGAAGTCTATGAATAAAGTTTAAATCCTCCAATGAAACGAGTGGTTTGTACTCTTCTTCAAATGTTCGTCTAAAGACCTTTGCACCGGGCTTTTTAGCGGGCTCCTCATTTGGACTGGTCTGGTTTTCTTGAGCTTGCACAAAATGTGTTGAATCACTCTCTATGCGGATGACAGTTTCCTGGTTGTTTTGAGGAGCGTAATTATCTTGTTTCTGCGACATGCATTCTAATTCGATTGTTTCTTGCTTTATCTGGGACGGCTCTTTTGCTGAAGCAGAACGTAAGGATCGCTTTATGAGCGCTGACGAGACCCTCTGTTCCTGGGTTCCCGTAATCGTGCTACACAGTGAAGGACTATTGGCATCAATCAGTGAAATATGCGCCTGGCTTAACCTCGCTTTTGATCCATACGTCACATTAGCTTCAACAAATGACGGTGTCACGTGACTCAGGGACGGACTTCCTTGGCCTACGGGCATATCGTCTATGACTCTGCTATGGTAGTGGTTTCCAGGCCTCTTGACAGCATCTCCCTTTTCCTTTTTTCTTATAAAACGGCGCGGTCTGTCTGATCTGGAGCCTGATGGGTCGTCTCCGATGTTGTAAATACTTCCATCGTTAGTGCCCCAAGAGGCCTGATCATCTAAATCTATCGAATAAAAACAAAGAAACAACGTTTTTAGTAAGGAGCGAAGCCTACTTATGGTGAATCAAGATATCTGAGAACGCAGCACTGGTAGGTATATTTCAGACTTAATTAGGTGAAAGAAAGGCCTGTAGAAAGAGGATCGAAGGGGGGGGGGGGGGGTAAAGTAAAACAACAAAAAGAAAAAGACTAAGAAAAAAAATCATAACCCGAAATTAGATAAAGGCCGTGCTTACTAGAGAAAGATGCATCCTTTCGAGCATGCGCACTTCCAACTGCCCTGCTGTACTTTTGCAACATAGAGGAGCGTGACTCAGTCCCTTTAACACTACGTGGCGGGTCAGACACGAAGTATGCATTTGAATCGGTCTCGTGAGCTCCACGTGACATTTCGGACATGTGCGATGTAAGTGAATCTCTTCTACCATCACGACTGGAACCAATTCTAAAAGCCTTCCCTTGTTCCCAGGTCTCCTCATCAGAATCAACATTATCGTAAGCAAAAAATGAAGGGCTGTTTGCGGGCACAGTCATGGAATGTTTCCCAAGTCTCTGAAAAGGCGTGTCTGGTTGACCTGATCTGTTATTTACGCTAGTATTCTTTTTACGAGCGCGTCGCTGATTCTGTAACTGAAGCAAGGAAAGTTTTTGGTCATTGGTAATGTCTAAAACCTACTTTGATTAATGTTTGTCATTTCATTTTCCAAGTCAAGCCTGATCATTCCAATCGATTTCCTGTAAACAATAGCACCATTGATAAATATCTGTCGACCGGGCCTGAGAACAGTTATTTCAAAATCGCTCTAAACCTAAGGCAAGTACTGATAAACCGGTCCAATGACACACGAACTTAAAACTCGGTAACACTAAATCCATAAATATATTTCTCTGCACTCAGTGAAGCCAAAGAACAAATCTGAGTCTAAGCCATTTACCTCTTTGTAGACCAGAACATTACTTGGTGATCTTGGTGCTGAAAATTCTTTCCCATCTGAAAGTGCAGATAAAGCAGTGGACACTCGAGATGATCTTCCTTCACGGGCTGATGTATCCCTATGACGTCCCCCAGCCAATGATGATTTTCTACCAGCTACGGATGAGCACAAGTGATTCATTTCAAAGGAATCATGTCAAAATTTGAGCAACTTAAAAAATCTAACCGAAACTTTTAGAACTCATCTTTAGTAGTTAATGATAATATTCTACTTCCTTAACAATCCGTTTCGGTGTTTGTCTACCCTGACAAAATGATCATTTCAAAGCAATTACTAGGACACCAAACTTGACTGGACGCTCTGGAGTCGAAAGGGTTTGGCAGAAGGGTAAGGGGGTAACCCCTAGGTCGCCACGTCTACGATCTTTACAAAAGCTTGCATAACATGAATTGAATGGATTGTCGGATTGAATGTCGTTTTCACCCATTAAACCACTCCTTGAGAACAATTTTTAATAATTTGCAAATGAAGTTATTTGGTTGCCAGATTATTTATACAGGGTCGTCTATTGGGTTCGAGGGTGGGGGGGAATCCAACTTTTCTCGTAGAATTCTTTTCAAATTTTAGAGTTCTATCGCATTTAATCTTATTCCCATTTGCCGTGGTTATTTCCCAGTGATAACCTTAATCTCAGTCTCCCAATGACGACCATGGAGTAAAAATTGTACTTACGAGTTTCTTGTTCACTCATATTCCCCAGGCCCTCTCCGGTTCTCTGCCCTCTTCCCTGCTTTCCACTATTTTCTCTTCTCATTCTGTTCACTTTCACTGAAGCCCTTATTCCATTTTCAATTAAGTTAGAATCATGTTCTGTATCCTCGTCATCAAATCCTTGGATATAAAAGCTTTCAGACGTATTTTCACTTTGGGCGTAGTTCCCTTCAACAGAATCAGGACCATTCATAGACGTCGCTATCTGTTTCTTCTTTTTCCTTCTCATTCTTTGTTTTTGTAATCGCAGTATCGACAACAACTTTTCTTTGATGATCTCAGGCAAATCCTTTATTAATATATTATCCAACATTGATAAATCTAGCCGCGACTTAAACGATGTTTTTCCGTCCGATTCAACATCATAATCCATTCTCACTTTGTTTAAGTTGACTCGCGCAAAATCGTCATATTGCTCTTGACTAAAACCAAGTGCATCTGCGACTTTTTTCACATAATCCTCGTCTAATGTCTGTTCATCCATTCTAAGGACTCTAAACGCTTCTATCTTTGTCCCAGAATCAATAACACCAAGACTCAACTCTTCAAGCGCTTCCTCACTAGACAACAAATAGTCAAGTGATTTTCTGTCCTTACCAAGGGTAGTATTGGTGTCTTGTCCGTTGATTTGGTTTAGTACTGTCCCACTTCCTGATACAATGTATCCTTCTTTTATGTCTCTGTAAATCAGATAAAACATCATCAAAATTTGTACCACTTCTCATGTGTTACCATTCAGCGAATTCACACATTGAAAATTAAAGCTATTTTTTGCTACAAGAAAGACTGCATTCAGCTGCCTTTAGGCCGGAAATTGAATTAATAGTGCACTTACAGAGTACAAGAGAAGAATTACAAACCCAAGTCTTCTCTTGGTCTTCCTCCTCCAGTCATTGAACCTCCGCTTTATATTACTGGCCAGGTGTATTGCAGGCCCACGAGTTGGTTGCTGTGGTAACTGACAATTTGCTGGCACAGATCCAAATTCTGCCCAATGGTCTTTACATCTTGGACAGTGGAACAATGGCGTACAAAACACTCCCGGTATGTAGTCTTTGGTTTTTATCTTATAAAAAAGTATCGTATTTGTGGCTAAGGAGAATCTTGATCCTCTGTATAGATTGTAGATACTTAGGTTTGTATGTTATATGGGTTACCAGAACTAAACGACACGAAAAGCTTGAAAAGAGCTGACTACGGCGATTGTTTTTCCCCCGACAATTTCATTGCATGACAATAGTAACAATAATAATAAAAACTAAAAAGGAGCCAGGAATGCAAGATCACAATGTTGCAATGTTTCCCGTACCTCAAGAAAAATTGCTATTGTATTCTGAAAAGTTAAGCGCTGAGATCAGGTGCTCTTTGAAACGCGAAAGAGGACGCCTTGAGAATGCACAGTGAAAAGGGAAATATGGGAAAACAATCGCCTACCATAACCTTTATAGCTTTCACGCTGGAAATGGACCTACCAATTCGCACATCTGTAAGGTTTTTTCATTTTGCGCCAGTTTGTTACCCCTCCCTTACAGCTTTGGAAGTAAAATAAATACCACAGACACTTTGCCAACTTTTTATCAGTGTTTTCTAAGTTGAACAGGGGTTTAAACAAAGCTTATACGTTAAAAGGGTTGATGGCGATGTAACAAGACAAGACTAACCTCAACATAAATTCCTATCTTTTTTATGAACAGGACACGGTTTAGACCATCTTCTTCAAACTCCTGTGCAAAAAGCTCATCGTCTTCAAACAGAGAGTCAATGATTGGTTCGAGTTTGGAAATAATAACCTGGTGAAGAATAAGAAAAGTGAGGTAGCTTCTAAAAAAATTAAACGGAACAAGAATTATAGTAGTTCTTATTCCTGACACTGATAGCAATTTTAATAGGTGTGGGAACGTAGGAAGGAGATTTAAGATTTCCTTGGGTTATGAATGACACATCACGGATTGAGGTTCCAACAATTTCTAGAAGGAGCTAAAAGTACTGCTCCCTCTTTTGAACGACCAGTATGCACCAATATGTTCTGTGACTGAAATCCCTCAAATTCTGGGTGCTTTTATAGAAATTGTTATAGAAGTAGGAATTCTTTTTCGTAAAAAAAAATGTATTATCAAACAAGACCTCTTAGTCCTCGAAGTAAGAAGGTAAGTATTTCTCCAAATCCACAGGAACCCCAGCCAAAATTTGCTTGAAACAAGGAAGGAAATGGGACACAACTGCATGTAGGCTTTTGGAATCCAAACACCATCAACATGTAGAACAATATATGTAGGAATTATACTCAAAGGTTTACCTCTTCTACCGCCATATCAGAGACAGGTTCAACCGTGTCTGCGGTAATTTCAGTCTGAGATTTTTTGTGAGCCTCACCCTTGATCAGCAGATCCAGCGGTTCAGTGTTATCTGGACCAGGCGAGGAGGAGACGCGACGCCCGCCAAGCACACTGGGTAACTCCGGAAGCTAAAGCAGTATAAAAAAATCCATCTTTTGACACAACTTTTATCAAAAGAAAAAGGATGCAGTATTCCGATTTTAATCGTCACTGAAATCCAAATTGGTAATGAAGATCTCATTCTTGAGGATAGAGGTGCGTGCGCGCGACTTCAAAGACAATTACATATAACCTATACATGACAGACGATTCTTTTACGAGTAAGCATTGAATACAAAGATCGCTTAGCAGTAAAAATACTGACACTCTGGTCACGCGGCTGTTACTTACAGTGACCTCTGGGCCGTCCCCAGTCTCCACAGATGGTGTAGGTACTTTGCCCGCTATCCCAGGACTCTTCGAACCGCTCTCCACCCCCACAGTGGGAAATAAAATATTTTTGTCTTTCTCCAGACTAACGCAGTGAAAATCAAGTTTTTCATCGATTTGTTCTTGAACCAAAGTTTTTGGGAATACCTTTCCAACCTGTGAGATCTACAAAGAAGAGAGTTTTCATGTCCCGTTCTATTCATGTGACCACAGAAAGGAGAATGAGAAGATAAAAAACAACTGGGTGGACTGAATATCCTTTTATAATAATATACAATATATGTATTTATAAAATAATTCAAATAGTACGCGCGCTCTGATTGGCCATAAAACCATTTTACATGAGCGTATGTAAACACGGTTTTCGTTCCTCTTTCATTAATTATTTTATAAAAGAAATGTAAAATGGTTTCCGTGTTTACGTAAGCTGGAAACCACTCCGCTTCGCGTCGTGATTTCCAACGCTTATCTCGTGTTCTCCCAACCTCCCGCGTGTTTACATTAGGCTATGTAAACACGGAAACCATTTTACATTTCTTCATTTATTACGATCAGCACGGTGCGAATACCTCCTTTCGAGTTATTATTTCAGAATCATAAGTAGTGATTCACGAGGGCCACACCAGACAGATCAGAATTAGGAGATTTACAGACTACATTTTCCTTCATTGCACCAAATAATGTATCGTCTAACTCGCTCTCTTGTTTGCTGTCTCACCTTTAAAAGATGATTTAGTCAACCGCCACTTGCATTTTGAAGTGGGGACTTACACGTATATTTCATCCCAAGACCCAGCGCCTAACATTCTTCCCAAAAGGGAACAATATATCTTACCTTCTTTCTCCTGTCTGCTGCGAGACGAGGCACGATATCTCCAACGTTTGCCTTATGGTCTCTGAGGCGTGGTAATGACGTTATCATGGCTAAATTTCTTGAGTGATTTACCCAAACGCGGCTGAAACGGCTACATCCTATAACGCGATTTGTGGTTCACACTCTTTTATTACGTTGAACTTTGCTGCACGCGCCCCGAACGAGCGCGCGCAAAATTAGACGATCAAACAATATCCATCATGACAAACTAACATAGTGGAGCACACGTTCAAATAACTGTCGAGCCCTTAGAAAAAGTCTGAGGCAAGGATGCCCCTTTTTTTTGGCTTTCAACACTCGAAAATAAAGTCTTTTGCTTCCTTTTTTTTTTTCGTTTTTTACGTCTTTAGAAGTTACTTTAACATATATATATATATTTAAGCCCGTAATTACAGTGAAGTTTTGTTGTACACATTAAGATTTTCCTTTATTCTAAAAATAACTCAAATTACCTCATACAGCTATTGTAGTTTCTTTTTCATACTTTCAATTCCAATGCCAACTTAACAGTTGCAAATAACCTATTCCCTAAAGCTCTTTTTTCGCAAAAATAAAACGAAGTAAATTCATTCCGTTGTGTTCGAGAGCTTTCCATTGACCAAACATATCTTTTCAACAATCACGATAATACAATTGATGCACTGAGTCTTTTTTCAATGTTTTTCAGTTCATTGGTTCTCCTTCTCATAAAATCAACATAATCCTAGTTTCCAGTACTGTACCCCACATTCCTATGGAAGGCACTGGTAACTACAGGCGAGCCAGGTTGGCTTCATTCCTTATTTTCTGTGAAATCATCAGGGTAGACCGAACTCGTTACCAGACCTCCTTCAGTTCAGTAACAAAAGGGATCAACAACTCGTGTTCCTTAGAATGGCTTTGTTTTTAAGTACACGTTACACTATGTACCATGTGCCAGTGGTAACAACTTTTAGTGTGACTGCCCATGTTGTCACGTGTTTCTTGCTTTAAATACCAGAGTTGTGACTGTGCTTCCTGTCTGACCGCCAAATGACAAAGAAGGTGCAGGGAGGTCTTCTAAAAATTCAAACTCTGTTGAAAAGCAAATACAAAGAGAATGACAAGGTGAGTCGTCAAGCAGCCAAAAATTACCTGAGAGGACAGTTGTTTAAAGTTTGGTTTTGGTCTTATGTCTCTAAATCAAAAAAGAGCCTAAAAGATCTGTTTATACTTACTGTCTTTAAACTGCTCAAGTAGCTCAGTCTTTGTCCAGTTACAGGAGCAGATGATGAAGAGTCCACCATCTGCCAGCAGACTAAAAACATTGTCAATGTACTTTACCCGGCAGCCCTTGGCATCTTCTGGATTGAGACTGATTGCATCATAAGTTCCTTTGTCCAGGCACACATCAAATTTCTTGCCAGTGCACAAGGCACTACTCTCTGATGTGTTTAAGATGTCACAGACCTGTCATTCACAAACATTATTTTGTGAGTCTGGTTTTTTTTTCATGGATAGAGAAGGAGGATAGTTTTAGGGGGGATGGCTTCTGCCCTGCAAGACATCCCAAGGAATGGCTACCAAGGAGACTAAAATAAGTTTACACTACATTTCTTATTGTTTGTGTTTGTTTAGATGAAAATTTCTGGAAAGAAAGGGATGGATGATGAATTAACCACTGAAGTGACAAACAGTAATAGTTCCATGATGTACAAGATGACTTATGGAAAGTCCTTGCTTGCAATAAAGGGATTGAACCCAGTATGGCTGATTGAATCTATGCACCCAAATACTAGAACTTCATAAACAAAACCTGTACAAGATGGGGGGAGTGAGTCAAAATTAAATAACCAAACAAAAGGAGGGCTTTATTCAACCCCAGACCTTCCTTAGACCAAATCAAAGGAGCATGAATGTACATAAATATAAGGGTACACCACAGAAGTACACAAGAGGATCACCCCTGATGAATTTGAGGGACAATACAAAAAACCCTCTGTATTATACAGTTCTAATACTGTCAGTATTATTTTTGGGAGTTCATATTATCAAATTTGAAAAAACAAACCAGAAATTTAATTTTGACTTGTTCTGCTACTGCAATTGATTTGGCTAAGTTGACTGCTCCTTCTGAATAATCCACACCAATCAAGCTTGTGTAGCCGTGCCGAGCCTGAAAAAAATAGTTACAGGTACAGGACTCCATGTATAAGCCAAAGTGGCCCACGTGGTACAAACCTGTCACACTAAACTGTCTGCCACTTCATTTACTCCCCCCCCCCCCCCACTTCAATGCAATTACATTGCATTTCAATTCAAAGTACATGTACCCTTTTTGCATCTAAGTCTTTTCAGTTTTCCCATTTTCAAACACTGAACTGGGAGACTAGCTGCATACACCTCCTCATTTGAAGGGACAGCATTGTCTCCCTGTGCCAGACCCCTTTACTAGAGCCAGAGGTAAGTTTTTGTATGAGCCTTTATCTTTGACTTAATTAGTACAACTTGCCCTATCAAGGCTACAACACTCCACCTGGCATGACTGGGGGAAACCAAAACCACCCCTACACTATGAGGCAGTGATCATGAAGGTGTTGCCCTTCATACCAGAGGCTGCAATGCACTTGCAGTTAGTGGGTGAAAGAAAGTGTAGATGTGTTTGGTAAACCTAACTTACCAGATTCACCAGAAGAATGCCATTTCCACATCCTAAGTCTAAAAACAGTGATGTCTTTCTTATGTTTGGACAGTTTTTGATCCATTTAATTATTCTGTTCATGCTGCTTTCTCCAAACCTAAAATTGACAACAAAAATGATGGATATTAACTAACAGGAGGTCTTCACTTTCTCTAAATGTGGTATAACGGTGCCATCTGGGTGACAAGTATAAGCATATTATGGTCAAGAATATTTCCAAGCATTAAAATATTAAAATATCTGAAGTCTCAAGCAGAAAAATGTAAAAATCTAGGTAAATTAGAGTAAACATCATTGTGATAAGATTGTTGAGAGTCCAAAACACAACTCTAAATGGGAAACACTTTACCAGACTTCTCCAACGTCACCAGTGTCATGAAAATTATCCAATTCTGCAGAGTAGGCTTCATCCCAGCTAAAAGATGACAAATAAAATAGTTAAGTGAAAAAAAGACTGTATTACTAATGTGTTCTCTAACTCAAACATTGGCTGAGAGACAGAGAGAACACCACATTACATGTGCATAAGAAGGAGGTATCCGGTCATTCCGCCCGAGAGTCGAACCGCCCGGGAATTTTCCGCCCGAACTTCGAAGTCATTTCGCCCGATGTATTTGTCGTCTTATCGATGCGTTGTGTAGAATTCTTTAATATGTATCTTAAATAAAACTACTGTTTTCTGAGTTTTTGTAACAAAACACAACATGAATGATTTAATATTTTTGCTGACTTGTATACTGAGTTTTGATCGCAGAAGTTCCGAAGAAGTTCAATATCCCAGCGGTTGAATGAGCTGTTGTTTTGATAACACGGTCAACAAATATCTACAAACATTACTAAAATAAATCAAAAGAATGGAACAACAGCTTAATCTTTGTAATTTTATGCACTGTTTGTTCGTCGGGCGGAACGACCGCAATTCAAGAAGGATTAAGAGCGTGTTGGTCAGTTGATGTAACACTCCTGAGAGCAGATAAGATACAAACGCCAGGGATCAGGAACAGTTAAACTTCATAGGAGACTTGTCCTCCTAGATAGAGTTTGATAAAAATTTCAAAACAGTTTCGATTTTCAAAAGAGTCTCCACGAGGCTGCAATGCTACTAATTCGATGTTCCTAAATTGTTTCAGATTGATTATCCAACTGGGTAAAAAATTTCGAACCAAGAAAAGTTTCAAGCACAACATATGTAGGTGGAGTAACTGGAAATTATGTTCATCCTTTGTAATATCTTACAATTCTTTAGTTCCGAGCTTTGATGCCAGAAGTTCCCCTGAATCTCCTTCGCATACTTCATCCGCCATGATGGATTTGAATGAGCCTGCTTATAATTTGTCAGCGGCTGTTGAAAGTCAAACCGCGAGAGATTGGGTCAGATTAGTTAAAATTAATGGCGGACGAAGACAGCTGTGATCGTGACAGTCCCGAAAGTTTGAAAAAGAAAATATCAAAACGGAGCCTCAGAAGACTACAGGTAAGTCAATATAAGAATATCTGTTTTAAAATTTAACATTTTAAATGAAATATGTGGTAAACCTGGCGGTTAGAGTAGCCTTTAGCTTTGACAACCGAAACCCTTTCAAACAATCCCCTCTTTTATCTATCTTTTAGGTTACAGCTGCCAAAAAGCTGAGATGTAATGTATGTCCCAACAAAAGGTTCACTTCTCTTAAGATGTATGATGACCACATGGCGTCCAAGAAGCACAGAAAGGTTAAATTACAGAACAATTCCGAGGGAGCGTGGGTTTGCCAGGCTTGTGAGCTTGTGCTGACCTCTCAATCTGAATGGGTGAGTTAAGAATTGAAATAAAAATTAGCTGTTTATGATGAGACCGTGTTAAAGCACAATCCTCTCATAATCAAGAATTCATTATAAACCCTGTGGGGTTACAGTATGAGCCATCAAGGAGTACTGCAGGGGAATTTTTTGAGTATTAATTTTGCTATCCTATAACTGCAAGAATTTTGGTGTCAGAAAAATGCTAAAGAAACCCACATGTCTGTAGGAAGGAGAGGACCAGGTGCCCATGACCTGCCCCTGGATCTGCCACAGTATTAATACTTTAGTGTATACCTATCTCAGGGTGGGGTTCTGATCCAACAGTGGTATCCCTCCCCCTTCCTCCTTGTTTACAAGGTATAATTTACACGTATTTATGTGAAGGATGTTACACTTTCCTCCACTTGTAATAGCTCTCCTCTAGTTAATGATGAAAGCCTACATAGATAAAAATCTGCATATTCCAAGTGCATTTGGTGGTATGCTGTCTGAATTGCATCTTAATTTACTTTATTCTGGACCTTTAGAACCATGATATCCTGAATTGCTCATAGAAATATTATTATTCCTTAATGCTCTTTAGTTTGTTATGATTGACATTAAAGAGTTACATTAGCCTTAAATGCAAGTGGTAATGAAAGCAATAGTACTTAGTAAGAAGGAGTAAAAAAATCTCCAGGGAGACACATGGAAGTGTTAATTAGCAAGATGCTTGTATGAGAGAATCTATACTGAAAACAGGTCTCAAGTACTGTATGATGGGTGTATCACAAATTATGACAGTAGTTTTTACCTTCTACCATAACTTCAGGTGAAGCACCTCTGTGGTCGTCGACACCATTTCAAACTTAAGGAGTGGAGTTTAAAACTTTTCCCAACTTCATATCCAGTCACTCAAAAAGAAATAGATTTGTTAGATGACTCTTGTTATGAAGAGACAGAGGACAATGACATGGAGACAATGGATAATAAAGTGGGGAAAGTGACTCTAGAAATCAATTTTTAAACAGAAGATCAATGGAAATAATACATCCTGAAATGGAATGATTGAAGGTATTGTCACAGAGAAAGACTCCTTCCAATCCTCAGAAGGATCCCTAATTTTAGCTTCTTGCTCTCTTCTCCTCTGTTATGATTTCATACAAATGTATAATTTGTGTGAAACTTTGTTGTTTGATGCTCACTGCATCCTGACTTGGAGCAAGTTCGGAAAAAGAGAAGTAAGATGTCAACAACTCATGAGAGTTAAACCTTTCCACCCTAACATCAATATGCATATTCTCCATACTTGTCTCTATATTTTCCCAAGGTGCTGTCAATGAGAATTTGTTTAACAATCAAGAGCTGCTTATGTTGGTGATCATTTCCTTTATTCTCATGACCTTACTGTGTGATTCAGTCTCAGATGCTGGTCACTCTTCAGGGCCAAAGAAAGAATACACTGAACACTTAAAAGTTGCAGCAAGTCAGCAAATCAGACCTGCTGTACTGAGAACTGTGAATTTCATCAGGAAAACTCTGACACAATATTTAAGATCAGAGCGTTTCTAGTATTCTACTATTGTCTTTGTAGGCGATTTTCCTCTTCATCTTTTCCCAGACAACGAAGCTTTTAGGGTTAACATATTGGCCAAGCTTGTTTGGCAAGGCTCCATTTTTTGGTTGTTTCTTCGTTTTTTCGCATTCTTGTCTTGTTACGTTTTAGGGTTCGAGATGAAGTCAAGGTATAAACGATATTGTTACTGGCTTACTAGGAACTAGAATAAAGAACGAGGCTATATTCAGCAATTTTGATCGAGAAAAAGCTGATTAAATGAGGGATTTCGCGATTCCATGTTTTAAAAAACTGACGGAAACTCTTTTCCCGTAACAGAAGAGGATCACCACAGTTATGACATGAGTAAACCGGCCACAATTTCTTGAACATGGATATATTTTCTTTTTGCAAGATCAGAGATTCAATCCCAACACCCCAAGCGCTCGGTCGGGTAGCCGAACAAAGGTTCGTCTCGCTGCACATTCACGTGCGCTGAGGGTGACCTAGTAAGTTACACTGTTGGCTTGCATATGTGGCTATTGCAGTGGATCGTGCCATGAAAGCGAGCTGCAAATCAGTGAGAAGAGTGGGGCAAATCGATGCTTCACCGCTCGTTTTCGCGATTTTGTCGCCTTAACTATTGACCAGTCAATACGAAAAGGAGAGTTTTGCTTACCGGCTTAACTGTCTGTGTTCTTTTGAGAAAAACCGAGAGAAGTTCAGTGCTCTAAGGACAAATACACCTATTTATAATTTAGGACAGGACTCGGTAATTCTAAGTTCAAGGACACCTGAGGAACATAATTTCGTGCTGAAAATGGTTAATTGACAGATGACCTGAACTGAGGGCAAACTTTGATCTCGGAAGTTGTTAATCTTATTTTGATCCACGTGCACAATTGAAAAAAGGCTCAAATGTCAGATGGGTCGGTTGATAGGCCGGTCACCCTCGTTAACAGGGCCCCCTTAGGATCACGCGAGGTTGTTTCTGATCTCATAAGGCTTTTCTTCTCTCATTAACCTTCTGTAGAGCTTCGATTGTTATTTGAGGAAGTTCATAAATTTTAGCAAAACTTCCCGATAAATATCCCGGAAAACTAAGTCATTGAATACCAAGGCAAGATGAAACTGGATGTAATTTAATCGCGAAGCGAAAAGACGAGAACAGGGGTTGAGAGGGTAGGGAGAACGCTTTTATAGAAAAAGTGAAATCGTTTAAACGAGCAACGATGAAACAACCTGCTATGCCATCAAATGCCAATGAGATGCTGGTTTAGGATGAGGCCTCCCCCACTTCTGACTACTTAAGCACTTTTGAAGACTAAACGCATCTCTAAGGCCTAATAACTGTTGCAACGAAAGCTTGCACGACCCTTGCACCCGCATTAGAGAAGAGACTGACACTGACGACCATCTAATTGGCCTTTCACCGACTCCTGGTTAGTGTCTTTATTGACACTGATGAGGGCAAATGATACAGGCCGTAAACCCACTCTATATAGTTATCTGATGCTCGTGTTTTTTTTTCCTTAATCGCAAAAGGTCCTCAGGTTGGCGTATCAGATCATCGTGCCAGGTATTGTTATCTGAGAAAGATCTCCTAAAGATTACATCGTAAATCTTTGTTGAGCCATTTCCCCTTCTCTTCACAACTTGAGCTTGTCACATTGTGTCAAGAGACATCTCCGAGCCTTCCAAGAATTGACAGTATAACTAATCAACGAATAATAAAATCGTGTGTCAAGAGGATTTTGGTTTACCTAAAGGGAATAGTACCATATCCACTTTTTTTCAGTCTTGTCAAAACAATCACACTGATGCTTCACCCATGAAAGGTTGGAGAAAATTACAGAAAAGAGCCTAACACTGTCAACAGGAAACTTGATACCCTGATTTTTACAATAGAAAGGAATCCTGTCTACTTTTGATCATTTTTAATCATTTTTTCTTCATCAATCTTGCTAGAGCTCGCAGAAAAACACTTCTCGGCTTCTCAAAGACTTGTGCTCCTTCGAAGAAATAAAATCCGTGTCATTACTGCTACACTTCCGAGGCTGTAGTATATCTGTGCCTCTACGACAGCTCGATGTCCTCTGTTTCTTGGTTCCAGTCATCGACGGGGAAGAAGCGCTGGCTCCTCTCCCGAATAGCGGAATCGAGTCTTCCACGTGAAGTGCTCTGACGAGAGTCAAAACGGCTGCCAGAGTTGTAACACGAGGCTGATAGGGGTACTAGTTAATGTTTCATAATCAGGACGCTGGTCCATTGCAAACTATCCTAGCAACTCATCAAGTTCCCGACAGTTCTCTGCACTCTGGATGGAAAGAAGTACGATGAGGAAAACCCCGCCTGAGAGCACAGCCTTAATATCTACAACAAGTTTGAACTCTGTATTCAACCATTTGTATCGCCAACCATTGTTGGGAACGAACACTGGTTTTTGTTTGTCAATGGCTCATGCATTAGCATTTTAAATTTTTTCGCCAAATTCAGTTACCGCGAAAATTTAATCGACAGAAAAAAGAAAGATACATAACGTCACTTAAGTCTATCCACGCGCTCATCTCGGCATGTATTGTGCTTTCACCAGGAGCCTATTACCAATAATAATTATTCTGGCTCAGACTGGTTTTTTGACCAGTCCAGTCCTAGAGACATTCTGATTCCTCCTCCCACTCCTCCCCCCTCCCCCCCCACATGAAGTAAAAGCAACAACAAATACCACACAAAAAGATTTTACCTGTGAACTGCCATTGAAAACTTAGCAGAAAAAGCAGCCTGTAATTAATCAGGCTCCGACGGGGTCATCCCTATGTCCCTAAATATGATTTGGGTTTTTATTATGTTCAGATCCCTTCAAAATTTGACTTTTCGCAACATGTGGCTTCGCACAAGCCAGAATATGAATCATTTCATTCAGATTATTTTTTAGTAACCGGTATCTTTCATCATGGTGACCTTGAGTAAACTCTCCCTCTAAGCACATGAAAAAAATTAAAAATTCACCACAGAGATCAGTTGTTTACCTAGCTGTTTTGAGATGGGTTTAGTACCTGCATCTTGTAAATTTGTTTGTTATCCGTCATGTCCCGGCTGACTGAACCTGTGAGATCCTTGGAAATTCTCAATCGCAAAAATTTCATAGTCTTGAACAAACAATGCTAAGCCTAAGGTCAGTCCCATCGTTAATTATCACAGTTGTATAACGTTATTTCAAGAAATAAGTTGTTGTATTCAAAGAATCCTTGAAGCTAATCTTGCCCGGTTGATTGAAGCTAATAGGTATAAGCAGCTCTCTCGCTTGATATAACCCATGCTCTAGATCAAAAGTATTGGGCCATATGTTTTCAAGTACCCTGTTGTACAAATTCGATTGCAAGTAATAGAAGATACAACTTATATTTGACGCGAGTAGGAGACCGAAGATTTGATCCTCGTGTGAAATTGCCTGAAATCTGTGTGTGTGCATATTTAAAATATCGACCTCGTCGTTCACGGGTCAATTGCGATATATTTCATTGAAAATTTGATGGGAAAGAACCTGAACAAAAGCTTTTGTAACCGGAGCGACCTAGACATGCAAACGGCAGGGATCCTCAATTTCCGACAGAAGAAATTATCGATTGTTACTGGAATAAATAATGCTAAAAACATCAGTTTTCATTTACGAAGTAATCAAATGATCTGAACCGATTAGAAAAGGAATATTTTTGGTTTTCACTTTGTGTTTGCTCTCGCATTAAGAAAAGTGTTAGTACAATTTTATATTTATTGGCATTTGGTAAGTAGAAATTAATTTGAAGGTGCTCGGGGCCTGAAGCAACAAAATTTGGCAGAAAAATTAACGACCGGTACCGAGAACTTTTGGGATTATTTTTAAAAATCCCAACTTCATTCCCAATATTTTTGAAAAATTTTATTTGATTAAGAAGCAAATTGCTCGAGTGTACCCTTAATTCAGCGAAGGACAATTAATAACTCGTAATCACCGCGAGGTCTCGGAAGTGAAAAGCCTTCTTACTAACCCAAATTACGTAACGCAAGGTAAATACATGCACCGGAAATAAACTTGTTAAATATCAGCAAGAATGTTTTTCTTGCATCCGTTTATTTACAAAAGATAATCGTTGACAGAAGATAGGCAAACCCGTGTATTTTTCCGACTGAGATTTAGGGTGGTCTGTGCAATGTTGGTCGTCATAATAACAATAAATTATAGTTTAAAGAGAAAATATGGACTTTTATTGCTTGTATCAGGGTCGTTTACAATATTGACAACTTGTTGAGGCAATTTAATATCCTTTAAAGTGAAAAAATACATCCGTTTCTTTTATAACCTATGACAAAAACTAGTTTGTTTTTCACGTCTGTATGTTGTCGAGCCGATAAAATCCTCTTTGGTGAAAACGCTGGGATAAAGCTAAAACATATATCATGAAAAACAAATTTTATTATTGTGAATGGGGTCTGCGGAAGTGAATTTGAAAAACATATTTACATAGGAACCAAGATAAACGAGAGTGGATATCAATCATAACAAGATCGTGCTCTTGCCAACCTCTGCCCTTGTTTGGATTCGAACGACAAACTTCACATAAAATGTTTACCTTCTTAAGACAAAAGTACCGCTCTTGTGATCAATCTTAAGTCAATTCTTGGTCTTTTTACATTTTGACAACAAACGAAGAGTTTTTTCTTGTGCGATAGTGAGTTTTCCTGTGTTTAGCCAAGTGATCCGAGCGGGAGAACTTCTTGTCGCATAAGTCGCATATGAATGGTTTTATCCCGCTGTGGGATCTCTTATGGCGAGCCAGCTCATCCGATCTTGAGAACCTCCAATTACACCCTTTCCACGTACAAGCGAACGGTTTTTCTCCGGTATGGCGACGTATGTGCGCTTTAAGATGGGAGCTCTTTGTGTACATTTTGCTGCAGCCGGGGAAGTTGCATTTGTATTCGCGCGTGGATACTCGACGTCTCGCGCGTTCTGCTCGTCCGGGTGACTGTTTAGCTGCACCTGGTTTGGCAAGCGGGAGGCCCATCAGCGCTGTTTGACCTTCTGGCCCTGGACATTGATATCGAGTTGCGAGCCCCTCTAACTTATCGGAAATAATATCACTGCTTGAGTCGCTCATAGAGGAAGAATCACTGCTTGAATCATTGACGTCAGGGAGTAATAAACTGGCGGACAACACGAGGTTATCTTTAACACATGAACCCATTTCAAGTCCAAAGGTTTGCTTGTAGTAAGAATTGAACACTGAGGAAATTAAATGTTCTTTCAACTCGCCTACCTCGTCGCAATCCGCTCCCAGGTAAATGTGCTCGTCCATAGAGTCTACTATGCCTTTGGAGAACAGATAATCCAGGTACACGTCAACAGGGCATGATAAAGACATCGAGTCAATATGTTGATCGACCAGGCCATCTGTGTTGTCCGGTAAATATCCGCATAGTGGATACTGCTCTTCAAATTCGGTAAAATCTAACGCGCTGGCATCCATGAACTCCTCCAACAGAAATTCAGAATTCATACTTGCTGAGGTCTTTCTTCTCAGGTAGGAAGCGTGAATGTCGCTGCAAATAAAAATTTGAATGCTTTTTCCGCCTTCAAAGTTTCTTCTACCTAAAGCTATCGCATATGGTTTGATAAGTCGGTCTTGACGGGTTTAAATACCCTGCGGTCGTTAACTCTATCGAAGCCCTCCTATTGGCTAAGAAAACTATCAACGAGAATCGAAGATGATAAGCATCTAACAGAAACAATTCACTTCCGATGTGGTGATTGGTCACAGACTTCAAATTCGCAAGAACGTGGAATTTTGCTACCAAATCGAAAAGTACACAAGTTTGTTACTTATAGATGATCCTTGACCTCGGGGGCATTTGATTCTTTTGTTATTGCCTTCCTGCCGAAGCGTGTCTTAGGACAGTGTGAAAAGGGTAATGCTTAGAAGTTTCTTTTCCAAATATAAACAGAGCCATAGATAACACTGACCAGATCTGTGTTCAAGCAAGCACACGTATTGTTTTGGAATGACTTAATGAAAAATGACAACATTGTGCGTTCAATAGGTGCGAAAAACGAATAAGAGGTGAGAAAATCCACTGTGTTGTTGTATACAATGGTTTACCAAGCTTTTGTCTCGTGTCCAACTATTCGTAGCCATGAAAGAATGTTGAAGAGTTTACGCCAGATTGGCGTGAGCCTCTTTTCATTAACACTATAAAATCAAGTCACTTCTTCAGATAATTGGTTCTTTAGTGTAAGATTTCATTCGACGACATAGTCTAATTCAAATTTCACGGCTAAAATAACGGGATTTGCATGATGTTTTTCACGTTTGCCCAAATTCCTCGTGTATTTTGCAAAGCCCGTAAACAAACAAACGCACTGTTGTTTATTTTTCTCTTGACATAAGTCACCGAAAAGAAAACTTGAGCTAGGAGTGTGTTGCGACCGCAAGGTAGAGTAATATAGCTGGCTGAACTAAACAACTACTCTTCTTAGTGTTTCGTTATATTCCGTATGAATACTGCACGTGGCAATTATAATCTTCAACAGGAAATAAACGTTTCAACACTCGGCAAATAGATCAACCGTCCCACGATTTATATATCCCTGGGGATTTAGACCTTCTGTATTTGTGAAATGAGACGGGAGCTGTAAAAAATACTCTGTATAAGTTGGGCATTTTGTCAACAAATCCCTTGCCCTTTGACATTAGCACGCGAAAGAAGACTTTAAAATTTCATAATACCTCGTCGGATTGAAGGAAGATTGCTAAACTGATTCAATATTTCGCAATTTCGTAAAGTGCAGGGTTTGTTTTAATACGGGAGTCGTTAAGTTCCCGCTAAAATTTGGATGACTTGTCACATGTGATAGCACGAAAGTTTTCCGATTTTACCAAGATCATATTTATGTTGGCTTGACTGCTAAACTTACGTGATACCTCCATGACGAGCTTTGATCAAAAGGTATATTCTCTTCGAAGTAATCCCTTGCTCCTCTTACTCCAGTAGTTGAAAGAATGTGATATTTGCTAACTCTAAGTTCTCACGTCAGCATACAAATTCCTCATGTTGTTTTTCAGTGACTGTTGAAAGAATTAACTTCCTTTGCCAACCATTTCTGTTGACCTCTCGTAATTAATGCAATTTTTTTTCTGTTGAAGAGAGACGTGTCTAAACCCATTCCAAGTTTTAAAATTTTCATCTTGCGAAATTTTAGTTCCCTAAATAACCGAAGGTTTTGCACTCAATACCGCTTCATTGGTATATCTTGGCTGTTGAAAACACGTATGATATTCATCAATCTCTTCACTTTTCAAGAACATCATGTAGTGAATACGTTAGTCGACTGCCGTCGCAATTATCGAGAGATCAAAGTGGACTCTTTCACGCGACAATAACAAAAGAACAAAGTCGGTCACGATAATGGATTTTTTTAAAAACACAATTGCCTGGGTCAAGCTGAAAATTTATTGTTTCGAGCGCTTGAAGAAGGCAGAATAAATTGACGCCTAAATAGCCCCTGGTTTACAATGAATAACAAACAAAGAGAGTGAAACCACTCAAAGCTTGATATAAAAACCTTATAAGGAAACCATGACACTCTCTTGTTATCTTAGCTGGGTGATATAAGGGGCGCTCACGATAGCTTCAGGTAATGGAATAAATAATTTGACGACAGTATGGAGGCTTGAAGGTGGCATTACCTGAGGGGAGGAATGTCTCAAACTCAGCTGACCAGAAAATAAAGTACTTGCATATTGTTTTTCCTAGGCTTCCTTGGAGGGCTTCAAAGGGGTCCCTTGTCTTCTGTGATGAAATTAAGAAAAATGAATGGTTGGTAGGGAGAAGGGGCAATTTCGGTTTATCATTAAAAAAAACTGTACACTGAAAAAACGGGAAGAGAATCTCGGATTAAATTGCTTTACAAGTACATGAATTTCACATATGGCTTCCGACAGAGTTTTGTTTACCGAGTCGGAGCTCAATTGTTTTCTAAAGCATTACAAAGGGTGACAAGCATCTAATTTCTCCTTACAGCGTCACCTCTAAATCAAGCATTGTGTCGTGAATATGTGTAAAGGGAATGACCGCCAGCCAAAGAAACCATTGATTACTTTAAAAGAAGACTTCGCCTTCTAGATCTGTAGGAGGTGTGTAGAGAACAGTATGCGGTGATATGCACGCTGATACTGAGCGTTCAGGGATAACGTCTGATTGTTGGTCCCCTTAGGTCGATTTGCCTTAAATTACACAACTTTTTTGTTTTCAACAAGTGAGCGAGACAGACGGAGTTTTTCTCGCTTAGAGTAGGCATAATCACACCCAAACTTCCGTGGGGTGCCTTTCATAGGACTGTAAGGTGGTTACGAATTCAGCCCTATTCAAGCAAAATCGCCGGCACGATCCCTGAAAGTATTCAGTGAATTTAAAAAGCCTGGTATCAAATTAGGCAACCAAAAAGTTCAACCTCGTTCCCAGGGTTCTTCCTTTCCTTTACCAAATTTTCAATGGTAAAGCCCTGGAAACGAGTTACAAGGGATTTATGATTAATACCGGGCGCTCATTTCGATTGATTTGGAATTATTCGTGCTTTTTTATCCGAGGGAACGAAGAAAGTAAAAGACAAAAAACCCTTTCACTTTCTTTGATTACATCCTGTGATGAGTCATCTTTGTTTTCAAGGTTTCTAGGTTCGAAACCGTAGATTATTGAAGTTCTGTCACTGTTTGTGGATCTATCTTGGTCCATCTTGAAAAGGCTTTTCATCTTCGTTCCATTTTATTTTTCCATGTCCGTTTTGGTGTTTATTTTCACCCTAGCAGACAGTTGTTTTGGAGTATAGCTGTCCAAAACTAATTCTTTAGGACGCTGAAAGTGAAATTCAAAAGATTGTCTTGTGGTTTCTTTGTCGGGGTGTCAGCCATTGGTTGGAGCCGGAAATAAGGCTAAGCATCATTTATCTGTTCATTTTCTTCCGTTTGTTATCCCATGGTGTTACAAGGTACGTATGCGATCTTTGATCAATTTTTTTTCCTTACTCATTCAAATTTATTGAGCATCTTACAGAAAAAAAGATGCATGACGTCATCTCATAGTAGAATGAATCTCATAATAGGGAAGACTTGTCTGAGTAGATGTTGGTGTGCTGTCATACTGTTCAGTGAAAGTCAGAGGATAGATCAGTTTCACATCAATTAACTTGTATGTTGCAAGTTGTTTAGAATAGTTCCCAACCACCAGGCCATGGTCTTGAAATTACGATCATGTGTTTATCCACGACAAGTGTAAATTTTATATTTTTTTGTCAGTGTCGCTACAAAGGTTTATATTAGTAATTTGTTTACCTCTGTAGAGTGATCATGAAATTTGGCCTCAGAGAAAATATCACCACGCAAAAAGTTACCTCTGCCCTTAAATACATCGCTAACGGCCTTTCGGACAGGAAGCTTAAAAGTCAGGGTTCAAGTCCAATTAATAAGGAGATCTTAAACCCAAAGGACGTTAATAGAACGCTTTAAAAGTCATGCATGAGTTATAATACATTATTTGTCATCATTCTGACAATTCTGGTGACCTATTTTCAGCCCACAGCAACATTTTGGTTGAAAATATTACACCATTCCTCTTGAGAATCATCAAAGTATATCAAAAAATTATGTAGGGTGCAATAATTTTTGTTCCTAGATGACGCAGGATTCTATCAAGGCATTTGTTCGAGAAAATTTCGGCAAGGACTACCTCCCAGTCTATCACGGCCATACAAACATTATCTCGCCACTTGCGCTGATTGTTAAACGAAAGCGGTCGTTGTGGAAGCGCCCCTTTGGTAAAGGAGAAATGGTCATTGTTGGTGGATTGCACAGATATCTTACTGAAGAGAAGGAGAAACACTTTAAAAACTACTGCCGGTCAAAACTTATGAAAGAAAACAGGAATTTAGAAAAAACAGAAACGAGTGATGTCAGCAGGTCAGAGTTATCATTCTTTCAATAAACTCTTTATAAGTACTGCTCATGCCCCATACGGCTTGTTCAGTTTCCGACTGTGCTATGCACTTCCGCTAAACAGGGGCCATAAACGGTTATTGGGACACGCAGTAAATCAAGCCTTATCTTTGCTCTCGCCTCAAAATGTTAAGTTTGCCTTTAGGAAAAATTCCTTGTCATGCAACAAACTACGAGCCCTTTCGCGCAAATCTGAGTTTAGAGTAAAGCTTGAATGGTCATTGGGGACTGGGGATCTAGGACCAAGTACTGTGGAATAGGAAGAGGTATGTGGAAAATATGGAGTGGAGTGTGGGAAATGGGGAATGAAGAGTGAAGATTACGGAATGGAAAATGAGACATAAGTATGGCGAAATGGGAAAGAAATTGGAAAAGGGAAAAATGATGAGGATTGAAGAGTGAGGAAAAGCGAAAAAAAAAATTGAGAATGATCAATGAAGCTAACATTTTAAGATTTTTACAGCTCCACTAAATACTGAGTGAAATTTTCATCGAACTGAAAATAACTGATACATTGACAGGAATCTTGATATCTCGCTTGAAAGCTTGGACGCTGGGGGACTGGAACTAAAGTTAACCGACATTCTGGGGGACCTGGAGCTTGGCAAGCTTACAGAAGAGTATTACGTGGACGTAGATTTGCGCGAATTGTTGTCACACGCTGTGTTAGATCCTGATAAGATGACACCATTAGAGGGTCACCATTTGCGTCTTGTAACAGCTGTGATGTATAGCGCCAAGTTTTTTCTTAGAGGCAACCGAAAGCATCAGGTATAGTTTTTCGTATCAGTGCAGGTTCTCGTTCAATAGAGAATCGGTTCATAAGCTTTTGTTGGTTATTAGAGGTTTTCCAATAGGTAAAACATGGCATACAGGGTGGCCCTGATGGTTAGTTTGCTGTACCCTGCGTCGAGAGGTCTGGGTTCGAGTACGGAGTAAGTCATTGTATCCTGTTCTTGGGTAACAGACTTAACTCTCTCTTCTACCGCTACTCTCCACTCACGAGTACAAGTGGATGACGACAAACCGTCGGTGAAACGTCACGAAATTCTTGGAGAGGGGGGGATAACCAGCAAGCTTCCCAGAGGTTGTAATAATACCCCAAATTGCTTCGATAAGCTCTAGCTAGCGGCCACGCATTGCACTCAAAAGCAGAATTTACTTTACTTAAAGAAAACAACGTAATCTGAAAAGGATTCTCAGAATATAGCCAATAAGGTAGGAATCTACTCTTAGATTAAGGATGTTCGAGGTGGGACAATCTTCGTGGAAAGTGGCTGATTTTAGCGAGTACAAATACCTCTAAAAAAAACCTTTATTAAAGCGAGCGGCCCACTCACGAATTCAACAAACTGCTAGTACCATGTTTATGATGGTCAGTTACGAACGACAGGATACGCTCGAATACAAAGATGAGAAAAACTACTGATGCATGTAAACTCATTTCAATAGAACATTGCGATATCGAGGTCTCATTCTACCTGGCATTATTTCAAATTTTCCTCTTTCAGGCAACAATTTCAGGAGATGTCCACACACCCTCCAAGCTAGCCTGGTTATTAGGGAAAGATTCCTTAGTAAAAGGAAGCGTTACAAACCAGTCCTACCTTCCGCCAATGGTACGAAGGAAGTCTCGGGCGCCTTTTCTCTTTAAATTTTGTCGCGTAGCCTATAACAAGGAAGGGAAAAGGTTACAGATTCAAGATGGCGTGTTTGTTGGCAAATCCTTTCGGAGTGGTGGTGGACGCGAAGATGTCATATCAGACGAACAAGCAGCGTTGCATTTAGAAATGGAAGAAAGTTTAAGTCCAGGTATTGTTCTGGTTTGGTTAATTTAAGACTTTCTGGATTGTGATGTAGTTCTCTTATAAGACTGGAAAGAAATCGTGAAATTGATAAACATATGGCGGATCTAGGGAAGAATCCCGCGCGGGAGGGCCATGAGAGACTTAAGTCAGTTACAAAATGATGTACTCTATCCGCTAACGGTCTGGGTAACAGAGTACCAGCCAGAGCAGGTGAGAGTACTAAACCTGTGAGTGTGTTGTTTATGCAGACTACAAGAATGAAAGATGGTGATTTATAACATAGGTAGTAAATTCGTCTAATCAAATTCAATTGCGCGAGCGTGCTTCATATTCCTATTGTGTACGCTCATGACGTCAGCAAACAAATCCCTCTAGAAAAAAAAAATTTTCTATCGGGTTGAAAATGTTATAAAACAATTGGTTCATACGTCAGCGTGAGTTCATCGAGATATGAAGCACGCGGGAAGTTTGGAGAGGACGAAAGATGCATAAGAGTTGCTCGAGGTTAAATTGTTAAATGATGGGCATAAACCAGAGTGAATTCTCGAGAGTCTAAAATCTTAAGTATCTCTAAGTTAAACGAGCAGAACATACATCAATTTCTTTCAGGTCTTTCTTATTATTTAATTTTCACAAATTCAGGTGGGATTTTCCTAACAGAGAAAGATAATGAAAAAGTAGAAGATGTCAGAAAACTTCTGATCACTGCAGAAAATGGTACTCAGCTGAAAACACAGATATTTACGTATTTAAATTGGGTAAGTTCTGGTAACGCCCTACATTCCATTACTAACTCTTAAAATAACGTGCCATACTATCTGCGTCATACTATCCGAGTGATTAAAATCAACTCAGTAAGACACTCAACTCTTCCACTCAACTGACGCGGGGTCTTGCAGATTATAGTGGCAGCTGTGACACAAAATTACAGGTTCAGAATAGCCGAATCTATCTGGATCTTTCCTGCTACGAAATACCTTATTACTTCTATACCAACAAATTTTATCTCTAATTAATGATTTTTTTAAGTGTGGATATTCTAACAACGTTTCTTGACGGTGAAGGTCTCATTTGAGGAAAAATTGACGATTTTCGGAGAGGGAAGGGGAGGGGAGGGAAGGGGAGGGGAGGGAAGGGGAGGGGAGGGGAGGGGAGGGAAGTACCTGACGATAGACTGAAATGGGATGAGCTGCCGTCATAGCAACGTGCTTCCACTGCAGACTCCAACTTTACAATGTCCTTCATCAGTTTGAACAGATTTTGACAAGTGACTCAAAGCTGTTACTATTCGGCAAACCACTAACCAAGGATGATTGTGACTTTCTCCAAAAACTTGGAATTCGAGCCAGGCCAAAGCAGTTGGTCCTGAGATTAGCTTCAGTGCAGAAAGACGTGATCCATGAATATGGCTGCCTGTTGAAATTTATTAGCGGTAAGATAAAAATGATATCATCATTTAAAACGAGAATTTAATCAGGGGGAAAAACGCTTTTAAGTAGGGTGTAATCTAACTTAAATTAATGATTTAATGTAAAAGAATCATACGTTTTAAGTTCATTATTCAGCAACAGATGGAGCGTGTTATCCTAATTAATTTGACGCAAATTAATTTGACGCAAATTCTCTTTAATAATAAGCAAAGAGGTTTATAGTAGCTCGAAAGGAGAAGTGTTATTCCAAACTTGGCAACTGAGGATTTCAATTCTTTATTGTTAATTTTCATTTGGCTACCGAAAACAAACCGGGATTGCATTTTTTTTTTTACTTCACTGTGATTGGTTCTGAAAACTCACACCACGCCCTCAACAAGTCATGGATACGTAGCAGCAAAGTTCAGAGAAAACCCCTGTGATTTAGTTAAAGCTGAATACATAAGGAAAGTTCTGCCTTATTATAATTCTGGACTTCAACATTTCAATTATTATCTATAAGAATTTTTGTAAACGGAGACAAACTTTTCCGTGCACGCTACAGAAAACCGTACTCCATGCCTGCGAAGTAGCTGGTGTAGTGTTTTAAACTGAACCAAATAGTTAAGTGTATAGTTCCACGTTGTATTTTACTGAGGGTTACTCGGGAGTTACTTACATATTTTAATGATCATTCTCACTTTTTTATCCCCACAGAAGCATCGAAAGAAAACTGGGAAGAACTTCTTCAAAGCATGATGGATTCAGGGAAAGGCGAGGAAAAGAATGAAGATATGGCTGTAGCAGAACAATCACTCTAACATAAATGATCCATATTTCTTTTTAAACCATTAACTGAAAGAAGTAAATAAACGCCTGATTATTTCATGTCCTCGTTACAACAATATGAATTATGCACGCGCTGCGGACCTGTTTGTTGCGAACAGTCACTCACTCACTCACTCACTCTTTCTTGAACATAGTGGGTAGGGCAGTGCATACTGCCCTACCCACGTATATTGGGTAGAGCAATGTATACTGCACTACACGCGAAAGCGGAAAATATCAGATTAAAATCTTTAGATGCCTTCGCAATGTGAAGCATCCAGATGGAAGGCATTTTCTTGACTTTTGCTGCAATTCAGAGAAGCATAACGTATTTAAAATAGGAGTTTTATTTGCGTTCTGAGTCATAATATCCAAATGACCTCTGGTGTATTTTCGCGAATTCGGTGCATTCAACAAAAAACGGAACTGTTCCTTGTGTAAAAGTCACGTGCTTTTCACAACCATCGTAATAAATGTGACACCTGACCGAAACCATTAAGTTCTAAAAGGTGATCAAATGTCTGATCAACTCAGACACACTTACCTACTAAATAATTTTTAATGGGTAATACAAGAATTTTGGGGGGAAACTACTTTTCAGTTTCATTAATTGAGCAAAAAAAAATTTAAACCACTTCTATCTTATTGAATTCTTCATATTCCACGGAAATATCATTTCTGGCGTCTGTTTGGTGTGGGAGAAATATGCAATGACGAGTTTGGTTATTTCTCGATGCTTACCTAACCCTGTTCATTTTCTAATGTTTTATTACCCTGGCAGCTTGTCGCGTGACATACCAAAAAAAAACCACTTAATTCATAATTGACAGTCGTCACCAATCCAAGGTAACATAGAGGCGCACGCGCAGTTATATTTGTTAGCAAACCATTGCGAAAACGAATCATAAACAAAGAAGCCAAATGTGGTTTATTTTTTCTGATTGGATAAAAATAATAGTCAAAGTGTTCAGTCCATTCTTGACACGTGGTGATCGAAAATAACAAAATAGGGTTGATTTAGACCTCCGGCGCCATTGAACCCACTTAAAAACATAACAATACTTAGAATATAACAACATCTAGCTGGCTATGCACGCAATATATATTTTGTTCATTAATTCTACTCTCTGGGCCAATAGCTGCGTGACACTTCGCCACCTTGTAATATTTTTTTTATTTCCGATCTAAATATTACCATGTACAAATTAATTTTAGTCACAACTCCCTGAAAGAAACGACCACGCTTTATAATGGTAGGAAGAAAAATGCTATACATCTTGAATTTAAAGTTCCTGTTTTGTGTGCAAAAAGTCCTAAGCATTTTAAACCCGGAAGTACATGTTTCAATGGATTTTTACCGTCTTATGAAAAGGGTCTTGCCGCCTCGTTACATTTTGTTATGTAATTCAGGCCAAACGTGGCAGGAACACAGGGCGTCGGCTAGCCAAAAATAAACAACAGACACTGACAACGCTTGAAAGAAATTACAAATAATTCATGTCCCCTCGAAGAGAGGTGGCTTAAAAAATATGTGGTTGAAATTGATTGATTATCGTATTGTGCGAAACGGAGCTTCTTGGGGGAACGATGGTCGATTTTAAAAAGAGAAGTACCCATACAATGGGAAAGCGACAGGACACAGCTTTAATACATTTAGTCGGCGTACAATTATGGAAATTGTCTAAAGATTTCAAAATGCCACATGCTGTGTTACTTTGTTTGTGTGTGGGAAGAAAACAATTGTGATACTATCTGTCTTCAAGGTCACGGTGAATTATTTGTCTGTTCGATTTTTGTGTCTGTAATGACGCTAACACTGCAGTTTTCCTTTTGACGAAATTTTTAACCAGAAAGTGGCAAAAAAATTTCTGACCTATTGAAGCAGCCAAAAATATTTCCATAAATTGTTGTTAGCGAGTTGCATCCGAGAGCCTAAAGAAAGTAATACGCCTCAGCCCTTCGGTGTAATTTGCATTCTGTAGTCGAGAATAACAAACAAACTATAGAAAACAAAAGCTATCTGATAAATATAGTAGCGCATTCATCTCTTTCTTATAGAAACTGGCCAGACAAGCTTGGATAAACAAGATGCGATATGCTACGAGATTTGATTTAGATCGCATGTAACATAGTCCAGCGCCACTTCCGAATTATTACAGTACATATGTTTGCGCCGCCAGAAAATTTTATCGTCTTTTGTAACTGTTGATTTTTCTCGGGGGATTCAAAGAGAATTCTTTTATATCGCGAACACGTGTTGTTTCATATGTCAAAATAGCTAGAGCTGATGGCAAATTCAGCTGGTAGGTTTTGATAATCTGGAAAAACAATAATCTCTATGTTTGCTAAAACTAGAGCCTTTCAGTCAGTGTCTTAAAACCAGCCAATCACAATCGTTTCAAATGAGATATCTTGTCCTTCTTGACAGCGATTTCTTTGCCCAAGGTCGTGTGTTGTCTGCGTGGTGACTTAGGAGAAAATGCTTCTCGATCGAAACTATACAAGCGAAAACATTACAGGTTAGAAACAAAAACACCTTTTTCATTTGACAAGATTAACATGCAAAACCAAATGCTAATTTTAACATATTTTTTAGAATCTGTTTGCGATCATTCAGTTACCAGCGGTCATTTTAAGTCAAGTCTAGTTACATTTTCTCACAAAGAACTGGATTGTTTAGATGGCTAAAAGTAGATTTCCAGCGTGGGAGTCCTATTGTTTTCCATTTCTCTGTTTATTTTTGTTTTTATTTACGGGTGCCAATTACGTGACGTCACGCTGCAAAGCGAGGCTTTGTTTGGGCTAAAAGTAAATTCATCAACAACAAACGCGACAGAATTGTTTAGCAGGCTAAAATTAACAATATACTACGCCGTAATTTAACGCGATCTCACTGAGAGAATTTCATCTAATTTTACTTAAAATTGAAGGAAAAGGCCTTGTTACCTTGGAGTGCTTGCAGGCAGTCAGACAACTGATGTGACTTCGTTCATTCATTGATATTTCTGTCGCCGCGGCATTACAAAGGTAAGCGCGTGCTTGCTTCTCACCATCAACAAGCTACTGAATGTTTATCTTAGTTAGATTTCTAATTTCAGAAAAATCACAATGCACTGGAATCTCGACAAAAACAGCAAATGTTCAAATGGAATTTAGAAGACCTTTTAAGCGATTTCCTGGTGTTTGATATCTCGCAATCGCAAGTGAAATTGCCATTTTTATTGTTGTTTACACGAAGGACTCTTTTGTTGTTGTTTATGGCGTGGCGACTCGAGAATAGTAAGGTTTTGGTGAACATTTTCTCAGATAACATAAGTTACATCAATCATGGAGACTATCCTTAAATCTCTGTTGAACTCTTTCGCTAGTTTTCTGTACTTTACCAAAGATATTTTCCTATTCACGGAACTGTTCTCGTTATTGACTCAAATAAATTTATTCAAATCTTGCCCATATGGCATATGAATCGATCAGCGCGGTTTTCTTTTCCTCAAGTTCGAGGACTCGACTGCTTTTGTTGTAAAGAAAAACTTATCGTTATTGGGAGTTAGAATCATACTCAATGGCGAAAAGTTCGACAAGTTTTTCAGGAGCCGTAATAAAATTGAAATCTGCATTAAATTTCCGGCTTGGGTCGCCGCGCGCTTTTCGACTGCCTGAATACTTCATGGATAAACTTTACTTGAGATTTGATTCTAATTTCGGGTTTGTTTGAGAAAAATGTTGACCACGCGTAGGCTAGAAAATATGTTAACTTGTCTTTCTGCTTTTTTTAACAGCCGCGAAGTCCGTCTGCGTTTCAAAGCATCAAAGAGTAAGCGGACTCTAATTAATATCCACCTTCCGTGTTCTAAAGGTTCACTGAACCATGGCAGCAAAATCAAACGAAAACGACGGCACTGTTGTTGCGTCCAGCACGTCCAGGGGAGTCAGTGTAAGATATTTTTTGTAATAAACTCACTGCTAGCTTTCATTCAACGACATAATACGATTGAGCGTAAGATTTCACATGATAAACCTGAAACGTGTAGGGCATGATATTAATCGTTTCAGTGAACACATGTACGTACCGGAACAATTCTTAAGATTGTCCTGTTAGAAAGGCAAGGTTAATATAAAAAAAGGCTTCGTTGTCAAAGAACGGAATCATTTATGACTCCAAAGAGTGTGGCATATTTTTGAAACAGTGTACGATTTCTTTTCTGCCCTTGTGCGTGATTTTTAAGCTGTAGGTTCTAAGCCACTGTCCCTACCCCTGTCGCTAGTGTCAAATTACACGACTCACGCGAACTCTCGCGAGTCTGGAGTGAGAGTCTCAAAGAACTGCTCACGCTGGTTACACTTTGACTGAAATGAAGCTCATATCAAATAAATTAATAGTCTTTTACTCCAGGCAAACAGGCAGTAATTTTATCAAATGAGATGAATAAACTCCCCAGTTGTGAATCTCTTTTTTTCCTACCTACAATGACTTCCTCATTCCCTCTATCATATATTATCTCCTCAAAGTTCAATAAGTGTCCATCATCATTCAATGATTTTTTTTCCTTTTATATTTGCCAAGATTTTACAGTGTGCAGATAACCACCCCACAAAGAATATTTTTGCTTACCTTTAAAGATATAAATGGTATTCTGTTTATGCTTGGTTACATCCCAGCTGATTTTTTTCTTGTGGAAAAAGGCAGTTTGTCACAGAGTCAATCTCAAACCCAAAAAAAAATGTGAAAATTTGAGTTATTTATTGACATGGCAAAAATTGCCATTTCACTTGGTAATTGCTAATTGTGGTGTTTTGTCAGGGTCTTGTGGATCAATGACTTATTTTACCTTAGCTTTTGGCTTTGGTAAAGATTGCTATTGATATGTTTGTCACTGTCAAATCTCAATATTTCTCTATTCTTTGTCCAGTAAATTCTGACTGAAAATATTCAAAGCTATGTCATTTTTCCTTTTTAGCATAAGAGAGCAGAAAAATTTTCAGCTAAGATTTTTTTGGTTCACAGGTGAGAGTATCATCACCAGTAAAAAGTCCAACAAAA